CACGTGGATGATGATTGTACCAGGGTGTCTCGCCCTTTGTTTTCACATTCTTCTAGAAGTAATTTCTGATTCTCATTTAAAGCTATCCATATTAAGAGGTCAGAGAAAGTATACAATGAAAGAGTATTGAAAAGTACGTCTCATTCAAATGTGTCTCTTTGGAGGAAAAAGTTTCTGTGTGAGGGAAATGGTGCCTGGCTCCCAGCTCCTACCCCTAGTCCAACAGGCCAGTTGTAGTGGATAATGACAGTTAGGGACAGTCTTGAAATGGCTCATTTCCTGGCTTGGCCTGGGTTAAGAAGTTTGAATCTCATTGATTCCCATTGAGTCTAGGCTCCCGTTTTACAGGCAAGGATTTGGAGGGATTTGGAGCAGTGAGGTCACAAGACCGATTTCTCACAGGCGATTGAAGGGGAGCAAGGAGACACACAGAGGGGACCCCAAGAAGTGCCTTCTGAGCCAAGTTGGCTCCTCATAGGAGGAGCTCACATCCCAGCTCTTCAGCAGAGTCAGAGGTCTGCGCGGACTTTTATTTTCCTGCTTCTCTGATTAAAATTTACTTCTTTATTGATTCGGACCAATGTTTAAAAATCTTTGAGTAGTAAAGAAAGGACCAATGCTACGCCTTCCAAGTTCTACATATACTCTGTAGCTGTTAGGGTCAGGTGATGGCAGCTATGTGAGCTCACAGTTGGCGCAGTTTGGTGGTCCATGATGGGCACAGGTAGGTTTGCCACTCCTTGGTCAGGCAGCAAAGGAATTTCCAGTACCGTTCAATTAACACCATGGGATAGTTAGCTGTGCTTGCTATTTCGTGAATATGAAATGTTGTATTTAAAGTTAGGGCTTGGTCTGAGGATTAAATAAGGGCGATTTGTATGTTCAAGATAGCCAATTTTGAATTACCATTTTATCCTTTTTAAAAGTAATCTTTTTTTCTTTTTTTTACATAGGGAAGTCTTTGACTCTTTTTTATTTTCAGCTATTGCGATGCAAGATTTGGCCTGCTTTACATTTTTGTGTGTCTCTGGTTTGGTTCTTGATACTTGGTTTTGCAGAGTTGCATTTTACTGCAGTGTCAGGGGAAACCTGGAGGCTGGGGAGGTGGTTCAGTGTAGCTCTGCGAGCATGGGGACCTAAGTTTGAATTCCCAGCACCCAGCTGGAAACCTGAGCATGCTGCTTGTACCTGTAACCCTGGCATTGGAGTCGGGAGGTATGGGTCTCAAGAGTGACTGGCAAGCTACTCACCTAAATTAGTGAGATTTTGGTTCAGTGAGAGACCCTGTCTCAAGACAATGAGGTGGAGAGCCATAGCAGAAGATGCCCAGTGTCCTCTCTGGCCTCCAAATGGGTGTACATCGGCATATGCCACCCCCTCCCCAACCCTAACTGTGAGTAGCAGTGGAATCTGAGTCAAATTGGATGGATGTTAAAAGTAAGCTAATGCAGTTTAATTCTGTTTTCAGCATCATATGAATGTTAAAAATTTCCTAGTTTAGTGGTTCTCAACTTGTAGGTCACAATCCCTTTGGTGGTTGACTGACCCTTTCACAGGGGTCACTTAAGACCATTGGAGAACACATATATTTACACTGCAATTCATAACAGTAGCAAAATTACAGTTATGAAGTAGCAACAAAAATAATTTTATGGTTGAAGGGTCACCACAACCTGAGAAACTATTATTAAAGGGTTGAAGCATTAGGAAGGTTGAGAACCACTGTCCTGGTTGGTGCTTGTCAATTTGCCTTTCCAAAGTCAGAAAAATGCATTCAATGAATGGAAACATTTGTGTATCTTGCATTATGCTGATCATATGAAATATTTTTATGCAATTCCCAAGCAGGCAGACCCTTTATTCCTGTACTAGAGGTAGCAGTGAGCAAAAGCACACAAAAGTCTTCATTCTCTCATATTGGGCAAAAAGATTTTTAAAAATGCAGGACTAAAAAGTATACTCAATGGTAGAGTGCTTACCTAGCATGAAACCCCAGGTTCAATTCTCAGCACCACAAAAACAAACACACACACACATGCAGGCTGAAGATGGTTGTAAATATAAGATAAGGAAGGGGTAAGATGATGTCTGGGGGTATTGTGTTAGGCCAATTACAAGTTAAATGTCAGAGGCCAGCACAGGACTTCACTAGGAGGCTTTTGTGGAAAGAGTAGAGAGAAGAGGGCCACAGTGTAAGGACTAGTCTTGAGGAGGTTAATGTTCCTACTTTGTATATTTCCTCTTATCTGCTGAAACAGGGGGTATTATCTCCAGTTTATCAATTGTAAAAGGAGACTTTGAAAGGAAATGGTCCAAATTAAGTAGAGCCAACCCATGGGACCTACATCTGTCCCTAAAATGCTCCCTCCTTCAACATGGTGTCGTGCCATGCCCACTTTGGTCACACTTGCTCTGGGGGAGTCACTCGTCTAAGGCAGACTTTACTTTCAGTTCTGGCTTGTGTAGTTCCTTGGCTTGTTACCTTGAGCTTCCTCTCTCTACTCGTTAATTTAAAAGGTCTTAGGGGTGTGCCTGGTGGCCACCCACTAGGGTGTGTGTGTCAGTGTGAACTCTACTCCAGCAATCTAGGGCCATGTGAATTCCTGGCATTACGTGTTTCAGAGATAGGAAGCTAATTTGGCTGGCCTGTGTGTCTTTGTGTTCTGGGGCACGTTGTAAATGCACATACTTAGAAAGGAATGTAAAATGAAGGGCAGAAATGCAAGGTCATTGCAATTGAATCTGACACAAAATAGCCTTGCCTTGCATTTCCACAGATTGCTTATCATTATAAAAAGTCACAGTCAGATGGACTGGAAACATTTACTGCAAACTATTGAAAGGAGGTAGGTCTTCAAGAGGGCTCTGTGGTACCTGATGCTCAAGTGTGCTTATGATAAAAGTGGGATCACTTTGAGACCCATACATCTTTAAGAGTACATGGTACTTTGTACTTTGGATAATTTACTATTTGAAGTGATATGCTGGTCATCATTAGAACAAAGGGCTATGAATTCACAATAGCTTCTAGTGATATTCCCACTTCGATTTCTAAAACAGAAGGCCTTTACAAGATGATTTTCTCTTAATTGAAGACATAGTTTATAATTTGAGCACTTCAGCTATGGAATTTCTCCAGATTACTTTTTTTTTGAAGTATAGTACACAAACTGAAAAATATATGTATTGTATAACTCCCAAGAGCTCAGGAGATGGCCCAGTTGTTAAACTGCTTGCCCTACACGCAGGAAGACTTGAATTTGAATCCAAAATGCATGTTAAAAGAAAACAACAACAAAAAAAACCCCCAAAATTCATAAACTGATAAATCAAAGATTCCTTGGGAAAAAAAAAACACAAGTAACCAGTGTCCAGACCAAAATTCAAATTCCCAGTGTCTCAGAAGCCTCACTCCCTGCCACTGCCTCTCCCATTCTCTGTCCCAAGGGTGCTAATCACTGTCTTGAGTCTAGCCCGGATTTTTCTTTTGCTTGTTTTTGTACTTTTATGTTCATCGACCCATATTATCTGTGCTCTTCTTCTCCCATTGCTTGTGATACTGAACCATACGGCAGAATGAAATTGCAGCTGCTCCATCCCATCGCCATCTAGTGCTTCACTGTGCACACACCCCATAATATAAGGCCGCCGAAAGTCTCCTGTGTATGACTTTGACTAAACAAATGAACACACTGTTCTTGAGCGTTAACCTGGAAATTGAGTTACTGGGTTCTGGGCTATGGGCATATTTAGTTTCAATCGATGCTACCAAGTAGGATCAGAGTATTAATGCACCAAACGTTTCTACCAGCAATATGAGGGCTTATGGGCTTTCCTGTTGATGTTTTTTTTAGGGGTTGGAGATGCATAACTTCATTTTGTTTCATGTTTGTTCTGTGAAAGGGAATTGTTGTAGATATTGGGAAAGCTGAATTCAGCCTGTTTCTGTATTCGCTCTCACCTCATTATTCTTTTTCTCTGTATGAGTGAATGGGTGCATGTTACCAGCTTGATGTATGGAATATATTCCATATATATACTGACAGTGTATGCATGTGCATATTTTTTCTTTTACTACTTAGTTATGCTGAAAAGCTATCATGGATGCCATCTAGCTCAGGCTTCTGCAGTGTGATTCTTAATGATGCCCTATGTTGATAATGGTGGAAAATACATCAGTACTTGAGGGAGGCCCATCTGTCTGTTACACACTATTAAGTCTCTTCAAAACTGAGGTGGTATCTGTTTCCTTTTGACTTTCTCATAAGCATCATGCTTTTTTTACAGGCCAACAAAAATGTCTGACATACCTGTAATAGAATTCAGACATTTCAGGTCAAAGTTCACAGCTGTCTTTTTTTTTTTTTTTCTTTTTTGAGATAGGGTATTATTAGCTATCCCTGGTGGAATTCACTAGATCTAGTGGCTTTGAACTCCCAGAGATCTGCCTACCTCTGCCTCCCCAGTAATGGGGTTAAAGCCATCAGATCCCACCTATGCTTCATGACACATTTATAAAACTGTAATTTTCAACTTCTGCAGGGCCAGGTTTTCTAAGCAGTTTGCAGAGGGTTTTCTTGGGTGAGAAACCTATGGACAGTGGTGGGGAAAACTCAGTGCAAAGCTGTTTGTTTCCTTTTCTCATTTGGCTTGTGTGTATTTTCCAATTTTCCTGTCATACGCACACTATGATTTTTGCTTAAAAACCTTCAGATTGGATTTAAACACTGCTTATAGAAAATTGAAGAACTCATCAAACTATCATGGATAAAATAAGAAACAGAGCAAATGATTTATTATTATTATTATTTTCAACAACTCACTGTAATATTTAAATCAATGTCTATAGGAAAATTCTTGTGTTATGTGCTCTAAGATTTCTGAATGTCCAAGGTATTTTTAACACTGATGGAACTTTATAATGAAAATGAATTTTAGTTACAGTTAATAATTTAAGGCCCATGGATATTATTTAATCAATACATTCTTTTTCTTTACAGGCAAGAAGAGACTGACAGGAGACTGAAAAATGTAAGCTGTATTTAATGGAGTGTTATAAATAGTTTTTCCTTTATGTTCTGTAAAATCATAATGGGTCTAAGAATACGCTCTGTGTCATCTTTTCTAATTAAAATTTACCTAGAAACCAACCAGTTAGAGTCTTAAGTGTTGTTACAGTACAAGTGTACATATAATAATCCATCATTAGACTTTGTGTAGACCTACATGCTTTGTGTAGACCTGACTCTGGCATAAGAGAGATTAGGTTTCAGGGACTGGTTGTTCTGTTTCTAGTTTGTAAACATCAAACTCAATTTAAAAGTGTTAGGGGAGCAAGCGGGAGACTATCAAATTAGACATTAAGGGAAGATATGATTGCTTAAGAACTCTAGGTAATTATTCAGTTTAGGCTAATAGCATGTCCTTAATATTGGACAATTATAGAAGAATATCTAAAAGGAACAGCTTTATTTAAAAATATGCTCATCAAGCAAGCTGAGAATTACTGACTTTAGGTGTTTATTATGTAGTTTTATTGGAAAAATCCTGACATAAAAAGTGTCACTTGTGGGCCAGCAAGGTGCCTCAGTGAGTAGAAGAGCTAGCTGTGTAAGCCTGGGGTTCTAAGTTTACATCCCTGGAATTCGTGTAAAAACCTGGAGACAGTAGTACGCATGGATTTGCAGCACTCTTAGGGTGAGATGGGGATCAGAGATGGGAAAATTACCCAGAAACTCGTGGCCATGCATACACAGTGGAACATCAAGCAACTACAGAAGGCCGTGCCTCAAAACAAATGTAGAAAGTGAGACTCAACTTCTGGAAGGTGTCTATACTTGTGAATGTAGCTAGAGTTTTCCTGCCTGGCCCACAGTCAGGACAAATCTCTCTCACCTGCCAGTCCCACAGCCGCTCAGACCCGACCAAGTAAACACAGAGACTTATATTGGTTACAAACTGTATGGCCATGGCAGGCTTCTTGCTAACTGTTCTTATAGCTTAAATTAACCCATTTCTATAAATCTATACCTTGCCACATAGCTCGTGGCTTACCGGCATCTTCACATGCTGTTTCTCATCATGGCAGCTGGCAGTGTCTCTCTGACTCAGCCTTCCACTTCCCAGCTTTATTCTCCTCCTTGTCCCGCCTACACTTCCTGCCTAGCCAATGGCCAATCAGTGTTTTATTTATTGACTAATCAGCAACACATTTGCCATACAGAACATCCCACAGCATGTGAACCTGCATGCATTCTCTGTTTCTCTCTCTCTCTCTCTCTCTCTCTCTCTCTCTCTCTCTCTCTCTCTCTCTCTCTCTCTCTCTCTTTCTCTCTCTTTCTGTCTCCCCCCTCCTTTCTGCCTCTCCCCCCTTCTCTCACAACACACACACACACACACACACACACACACACACACACACACACACACACACACACAGTTTCTCCTGTACTTTATACTTCCCTGTTTTTTGAGACAACTTCTCATGTAGTCCAGTCTGTTCTCATAGTTTCCATGTACACACATGACTTTTGAACTTCTGATCCTTTTGCCTTTATCTTCCATGTGATGGAGGTACAGGCATGTACTACCAGGCTCAGTTTCATGCAGTGCTGAGGAAAACCCAGGACTTCTTGCATGCTAAGAAAGCATTCTACTGACTGAGCTATGTCACTAACCCTCATGGTTTTCTCTTATTTTTTTCTACTTCTCAAGGGTAGAGTGTATGACTATCTATTAAGTTCTGTATCTTTTGATCTGAGAACCTGTTTTGAAAGAATAAAATCTAACAAGAATTATTATGACTTTTAATGACTGCATTCCTTACCATACATTGAAGAGTCTGCTTTTCAACTGTAAAGTATTACGATTCATCTACCTGCATTTGAACTGGGCACTTGGTTACCAGTCCACTGATCTTGTTCTTTTCATTTAGGTTTTGATAACTTTGTACTGGCTGGGAAGAAAAGCACAAAACAGCCCCTACTATAATGGTCCCCATCTCAATCTGAAAGCTTTTGAGACTCTTTTAGGACAAGCGTTGACTAAGGTAAGGACTCCACCGGTGTGAAATGACTCCTGTGACAAATGCTCCCACTTGAGCGTGCTCTTCCCTTCTGCTTCCCATGCTCCTCCACAGCAGACCTGGAGGTTGTCTGTGCTCCTTTCTAGACATGGAGAAGTAGGCAGGTTGCTTACTTGTTTTCTGGCTTCCTGTGCTGCTCTCAAGGAGTGAGTTATCATCTAATCCAGAGTAGGTTCCAAGGTGTAGAATTTTATGCCCTTAATTTTAGGTAATTTGATGACACACACATTGCTTTCTATACACTATATAACTTAACTGTTTCTATAGTCATTATGAACGCAATCTGCAGTAAAAAGGCATTTTTAGGGCCATTAACATTTATAGGAGTTACTCAGTTTCTTTATATTAATCTGTTCTTGTCAAGGGTAATTATCTAGTGACCCATATTCCAATATCACCACGCTGCTAGTGTTCATTGAGAAGTAATAAATATTAAGTGAAACTTGATAAAGTGATGCTCATTTTAAGACAGTTTCAACTAACCTAGGCTATCCCAGACTTGCTATGTAGCCACAGTGACTTTGAACTCCTGATCTTCCTGCCTCTACCTCTCAATTGCTGGGATGGAAGGCATGAGTTTATGATTGACTACTGAGGAGATTTTGAAGTTAGAATTGTTGTTTTTTTTATTTTTGGTTTTTTATTTGTAATTACACACACACACACACACACACACACACACACACACACACACACGGGAATATATATGAGAGTTTGGCGACCTTGGTGGCCAGAAGACAGCATCAGGTGCCCTGGGGGTAGAGTTACACCTGTTGTGAGCTGCCTGGTGTGGGTGCTGGGAACTGAACTAGGGCAGCAAGTGCTCTTAACTGCCGAGCCCAGAGCCCTTGTTTTTACCTACGTTTTGCTCTTTCATATCCTGGGATCATTGCAATAGGCTTCTGAAGCTTGTGGAGTATTTGAGAAGGACCAAGTGCTGAGTCCAAAACATAGTGATTTTGTTTTGCCAAAAAAAAAAAAAAAAAAAAATCATTGACAGGACCCTAGTGGGAAACCAATTTCTCTGTGTAACTCTTCATCCAGGGCATTTATAAGGATTGGAAGAAAACAGATGATCAAAATGATAAAACACCATCTATATGGTATAGTAGTACTTGCTTTGTGAGATTTTTCTGATGATTAAATGAGAAAAATATTTAATGTTTCTGACACATTGTGGGATGAAATAAATGTTAGTTATGATTAGAATAGAGAGGGCGGTGGTGGCGCACGCCTTTAATCCCAGCACTTGGGAGGCAGAGGCAGGCGGATCTCTGTGAGTTCAAGGCCAGCCTGGGCTACCAAGTGAGTCCCAGGAAAGGCACAAAGCTACACAGAGAAACCCTGTCTCGAAAAACCAAAAAAAAAAAAAAAAAAAAAAAAAAAGAATAGAGGAATATTTGGACATGATAAAAATAATTGCCTTCGCCTATATCTATCCATGTCTTTAAAAAATACTTTGCCTGCATCTAGCCATGGATGGATTACACTTTTTTTCTTTAATTGGAAGGAACTGATAGCTCTTTAGGGCTGGGGAGATGGCTCAGTCGGTAAATGATCAATGTGCAAGCACGAGGACACAAATCTGACCCCGAGTCCATGCAGGAAAGCGGAGTATGGTGACACACACATAATCCCAGCACCGAGGAGGCAAGGGCAGGATTCCTGGGGCTCCCTGGCAAGGCAGTATAGTCTGCTGGGCAAACTTTAGACCAATGAGAAACCCTGTCTCAGCTTCAAGAAACAAAACAACAAAAGAAACATAAGGTGGATGTCTCTTGAAAAACAACACTGGACCTTTGACCTCTACACACATACGCCTGCATGTGCATGAACACACATATATGCATGCGTGCATGTGCAGTGTATGTGTACATGAAGGCTCAGAAAAGAGTTGGTAGTTCTGTATTCACACTTCGTGGGTGAATTAGTGGAGACAGTAGTTGAGATACTGCCACACATCCATAGTGTGCTAGAGGTTGGAGAATGACTGATGCATCTACCAGCAAGCATGGTTGCCTGCGAATGTAAAGCAGATCCGTCCCTGCCATGGAAGAGGGTGAGCCTCTGGCGGGAGAATTGCAGTGAGTTGTGGGTACAAGGGAAACCTGGCTTGCAGCTGTTTGAACTAAGGAGCTGTGCAGTGAGAAGCTACAGGGGACCCGGGCTTGTGGAATAGTGCTCTTTATAGCCTTTCCTACTTTTTATGGCAATGACTCAGGATGACTCATCTCAGTGCTGAGTTTGTGCTAGGCATGCCTCTTTAAAGGCTGTTCAGTCATCGATGTCACAGTCAGGATGGTCAAAAGACTTCTTTGTGTAGATAAGACTGTGGTTGTGGTCCTGTTCTTCCGTTACCTGGTGGGAGTAGACATAAGAGGCATGTGAACATATTATTTCTTTTGTATCAGTTCTTTTAAAATGAAAGGCTTTGTATCAAGTGTACTTTCCCAGTTCACTTGCAGTGATAATGCCAACCGGAAGTAGCAATGAACCAATACTCAGTGGAAGCTGTTGTATTTGAGTCCGATTATAAGTCGGGGATGACTCACTTTGGGGGACTTGTCAGGGTATAGTCTTCAAAAACCAGGCTGCAGGGCCAGACTTGGGTTATTATAACAGGTCACATGGCTCATTGTCAGTCATGTTAACATTGATAATATCAGAAGTCACATTGTGTGAACTCTGAGGTTTCAAAAAGTATGTGTTCAAGAAACTTGGCAGAGCGAAAGATTTACTTTAAGATGTTAATCTTGTATTTTGAAACGTAGCCTGTTGGCATTAAGCTTGGCTTCCCCATCTGCTTGGAAGTGGCATGTGAAAGGTAGACCCTGGTGTTTTCATGCCAGGATGTCAAGTTTAATGCTAGTACGAAATCTCTGTACTAGCCGTTCTTGGCATTTCAAACACTTGTCAGACAATTGACTCACGAGTTGATGGATCTGACTTAGTAGAAGGCTGCTTGAAACAGCTGCTAATTACTTGTCACGAGCACTTGCCAGCCTTTCTTCGTATGTTGAAAGTATTCATGATAAAATGGTAAGACAATAACCCTTGCAAATGTCACATCATTATTACAGGATGTAGTGTTTCCATTTTGGCTTTATTTAATAGTGTCTGCCCATCTGTCTGTATTTTACTTAACCATTTGAATTCAGGTACCGTACCTCATTTCTGTATTCTCAGAATCCATCTCTTAAGAGTAAGAATATTTTTCTGTGTACCTATAATATACGCTTAAGAAATCTCATCAACTTTCATCATCATTTATTATTGAATCTATTTCCTGTGGTCTCCCAACTGTTTTTCATAGTTTTAAAAAGTTAAATCAAGATTTATTCAAAGTTTGCATGTTATATTTTGTTATTAATTCTTATGTTCTTTAACTTGTCACCTGAGATTAACTTTGTTGATTTTCATTTATGTCCTAATTTTTAAAAGGTCAATTAGGTTTTGCCATTAAATTTCAGAGGTATGTTAATGAAAATGGCTTGTTTTGGGAAAGTTCTATGTAAGCTATAATTTCCTCTAAGGAAGATAAGTTTTACATGCCAGCAAACATGTATGCTACCCTTGACTCACTAAGAAAGGCAGCCTGGCTACCAGCATCTCCATCTAGGTTGCATAATCAGTGAATGTAAACAAATTCCATGATGTACATACTCACTGCTTTTTAAAATAATAGATTTTTTTTAATGAAGTCAGATAGTGTTACAGAAAGTCACTCTGATCTTATGTTTAACATAAACCACTTCAGATATTTTCTGGAAAGAGAATGAGACATCTTAAAGACGTGCCTCCCTTTTGAGTATCTACATTAGGATTTTTTTCTCTTTGATTTTTTTCATTTTTTTCTACCAGACAAAAGATATAAACCATTGATCAGCTTTTCAAGGCTGTTTTTATTAGTATTTTCATCTTCTATATTGATTATATAACTTCATTAAATAATTTCAGGTTCCTTCTTAGTATGTGGAATACCCCCTATCATATAGTTTGTGGGGAAAAAATGTGCTTTTAACTTTTTTCCCCTTTTGTTGAACAGGGAAATCCTGTCAACTTGCCTCACTAATTAATCAGAGCTTTTGCACTTCTGAAAGTTCATGTTCACTCACTGATCTTTGTGCAATGTTTCCTTCAGGCACTTGAAGATTCTAGCTGTCTGAAAAGAAGTGGCCGAGACAGCGGCTACGGTGACATCTGGTGTCCTGACAGAGGAGAATTTCTTGCCCCTCCAGGTAGCCATAGGAGGGAAGATTCCTTTGAAAGCTTGGACTCCTTGGGGTCTAGATCACTGACCAGCTGCTCCTCAGATCTCACGCTTAGAGGTGGGAAGGAAGGTGAGCCTTGTCTTGGGATGTAGGTTTATGTTACTTGTTTGTATATGAAGAGGAAATGAAGGAAAGTAGAGAATGAAAACTGTTCAAAGATTTCATCAAGATGTAGTTTTTATTGAATCCATGTGGTTAGGTGGTTTTTAATTTTTGTTTTGTTTTCGACTTTTCCCTTCCTCATACCTCATAGGAATGCCGATCCCACCCCCCCTCCCTTTTTTTTAAACTTCTGTATTTGGACAGTACTTGTGAGGAGATGGCTCACTAGTTCACTGTGACTGGATTTTTGTCAGTGAGAAACTCTTCAGATAGAGGCTTAGCAATAGGTATTTAATAAGGCCTGTTAACTCATATATCTAAATACAAAGCCCATAAGAATCTGTAAAACGTCTATTCTACTTCCCAAGTATTTTTCTTTTTTGTCTTAATTTTATCAGAAAGACTTAAGAAGTATAAAAGAGGAAAAGTTTAACAGTTTGCCATGACAAGACTGAGCACACACACATTCACACAAAACCAGTAATGATAAGTAAATTAAAAAAAAAGAAATGCATGTCTTATTCCTATGGCTACTAGATAGTATTAATAGTTTCTGACTAAGCAGGTAGTCTGAATTTAGTCTAAGTAGAGACCACAGAGAAATTTCAAATACTGAGGCTATATGATAGAGCATGTGGCCAACATCCTTGAGACTAAACCCCAGCACTTCCAAGACCAGTTTTTTTCCTTTTAAAGTATTTTTCTGCCCTTTAAGCATCATCATTATCAGGAAAGAAATGCGAGCTCTGGCTGTGAGCTTGTGCTCCACCTTTGAGGATTTTCAGTTTCTTTATTGAGGACATAAATATTTTACCCAAGACTTTTACTATGCAAAATCTCAAACATCACAAACAATACGTGTGTTTCCTAAAAATCAGTGAAGCAAGCTAACAAAACTAAATCCTTTAACTTTTGGAGCAGTCATTGTAGAAATATGTGAATGGCTCTAGTATTAACCTTTGTAACTGCCACTGTTTTTGTTGGCTGTTTCATACCGCGGTATGAGTTTTTCAGAGCACAGATGAAAACGATCATATCTGCTGTAAGGAAATAAATCTAAGTTTGTAACTCATCCGAGTAATTCAAATTGTAAACTGAGACTAAAAATCTCAACACACTAGGTTCCTTTTTCCTGACTGAGGAACCTACGGCATGCTATGTTTGAACTTCTATCTGCCTGTCAAAGACTAACGGTGGGGTGGCTGCGGGTTCATGTCATGTGTGGATCTATCACCAAAACATAGAGATGCAACGGTGCAAGATCTGAGTCTCCTTTAACGTACGGGCCCATGCCTGGTGTGTGTGATGCAAATCAGAGGGCCCCAGGGTCACATTGCAAGGGGACCTTGTTTAAGGACTGTAGAGGTCTGGGAAATTGTAAATAGGGTAGTGGGAGGGAGATGCGTTCCAGAAGAATGACGCGTTTCTGTGATTATTAAACTTCTGCGGCCCACACAATTATAGTGGGTGGTAACCACAATTATGATAATATTTTTAGGATTAGAAGATGGTGCATTTCATGAGTTTTGTATGAAAACGTATCAGGAGTGATATTTGTACAAATAAAAATTGTATTAGCTAAAAAAAAATAAAATTTTTAAGTTTAAAATTTCAAAAGCCAACTAGTCTGTGATTTTCAAATTTCATAAGTAGGTTTTGGTAAATAAAGGATCTGTCTCTCTTTTTCTTTCTCCCTCTTTTTTAGGAAGTGTTAAAAACAAAAAGCAAAAGAAAACAGAAGTAGCTTAACAACTTCTGTTCTTCCTGACCATGGCTACCAAGCTGTTCTCCCTTTCTGCCCAGACTGTCCTTCTACCCCATTCTTGTGACACAGCTGTGCTAGATCACTTCCTTTGAACCATATTGGCATTGTTTACTGTACATTCCTGACTGGCAGGTGACAAAGGCAAGCTGCCTTTAGGTCAGGTTAACCTGGAAGGTGTGCAGAAAGCCGGAAGCTGTGAGTAGCGTTGCCTTCTGCAGCTGGGAGGAAGCAAGCGACACTTACCGGCTACCCGTGTTTCATAAATGCTCTTGAGGCAGGGCAGGGGAGAGATCTCCATTTGGATTCATACAGTTACTCTCTCCATGAGTGTGTTTTAAAACATCTGGGCTTGTTAGCTTTTCAGCTAGAGAATATATTGTTATTTGAATATCTGTCTGACATTGGGATCTATCAAAAAAGGCTTTTTTGTGGTGGTTGCTAAGTTTGCTTTTAAGTACATTTTTAATCACAATTCCTGATTCCCATTATATTTCCTTTGCTTATCAGAGGGAACGTTTTTAGTTCTGTGCTCTCGTGTGGGCATACGCTTTAATTTGTTAGGACTTCAGATGTCATCTAGTCTGTCTTCTGCGGTGTGAGATCCTCGTCCGAATGAGTGACCTTACAGGGGTCTATGTGTCACTGTTGATCCTGTGCAGACTTCCTTTGCTTTCTATGATTGCCTGCCACTTCCTGTAAATCCGAGGGCCTCCTGCCTTGTCTTACGTTACTGAGCTTCCATAGAATCATGCTATCTCACTCAATTGCTGGATTTTATCACATGTACTATACTTCAGCGAATTTATGAGGCATCCTGGAGGCAAAGAGGGTTGGGAAGGGACTGAGTCGGGGACTGGGGACTTAATCTGTATATCATGTACGACAGCGGAAAAATGAACTGTGTGTGCCTCCAGTATGGAAAGCAAGTGCCTCCTCATGGGCCTTATCACAACCTCTGGACAAAGTTCTAAAAATATTCCTGCCTTTTAGCAGCAGCACTAGGTTTCCAAGGGAGAAGAGGACATGCTGGGGGAGGGAGGCCCAGCAGGAATCCACCAGAGAGTAAAGCAACTTTCTTGTGCCTTTATAGGTTTCGAAAGTGACACAGATTGGGAATTCACATTCAAAATGCAGGATTATAACAAAGATGATATGTCCTACCGAAGGATTTCAGCTATTGAACCAAAGTCTGCTCTACCATTTAACCGCTTCTTGCCTAACAAAAGCAAACAGCCATCCTATGTGCCAGCACCTCTGAGGAAGAAAAGGCCAGACAAAAATGAGGATAACAGAAGAAGCTGGGCCAGCCCGGTCTACACAGAAACAGACGGAACATTTTCAAGGTAATGTCGTGTGATATGGTTATGGAGTTCAGAATGCTTCCTGAATTTGTGCGACTGTTTTAACATGGTTAAGAGAATGGCTCCTAACATGTAGTCAACACATATCACTAATGGGGGCTCCTTTTCCTACCTCTCTTTTCAGTCATGTGTGTGCTGAAGACAGTTGTTCTGTTTCAGGACACCAGCGTCTGATGACTAGGCCGCCTTTTAGACGCATGCCTTCAGTTTACTGGATGGCTGATGTGGTCCATCGTGAGCCCTGCTGTGTTTCCTTCCATTAGTTTTCTTGTTTGTTGAGAGTAGTGGACATGAAAAGAAACCCTTAATTTCCCATCAAATTAGCAGAGCAAAGGATGATTTTTCAAATCCGTCTTTCTGTATGCTGTGTGGTTCTGTAAGCAGTTCTGACCCTGTTGATGAGCAAAGGTTTGCCTGATATGATTTTTGGATGACTTAGCCGACTGTAGATTCCATGTGAAAAGGAGACCTGGGGGCTTCATCTCTCAAACTACTGCTTTCAGCTCTTGTCTTCAAACATTTTCTCCTGATATGTTAACCTCTGGGCTGCACACCCTGATGAGGTCAGAAATATATTTGTCCCAGATCTGGTACCTATCATGCTGCTGATTGGATTGAGAAAGCAACACCCAAATCTGTTTGAAATTTGTCTTTCTCTTAACATATCCTTGCGTATCTAGCTTTTCTCTAACTAAAAGTGAGGTGCTGCTGTAATATCTTAATTTGATCCTAGGAGCTGTGGTGTTGAGACCGGAAGTTAATTTGTTTCATTCACAGGGGTACAGATATTGTGAGGTGAAATGCATGCCCTTTGGGTTCTGTGCCACAAACTGCTCACATAGTACCTTAACGTGGTTGGATATTTTGAACAGTAATCAGAGGAGGACTTGGGGTCCCAAGATGGAGCGCTGGCACACAATCCAAGAAACTTCAACCTCCTCTTGTTATCTGGAAGAGGAGGAAGAAAAGATAACGCGCATCCCCAACCTTGTGAAGGATGATCTCTATGTGCGAAAGCTCAGCCCTGTCATGCCAAGCCCAGGGGGCTCTTTTGATCAGTTTCTTCCCAAATGCTGGACCCCAGAAGATATGAACTGGAAAAAAATAAAGAGAGAGACTTATAAGCCATGGTATAAGGAATTCCAGGGATTCAGGTTTGTCTTTGAGCATGCTCCTGGTCTGGTGTTCGTTCTCTGCCCCAGTCTGGTACATTTTATGTCCTGTTTTCTCAGTTAGGGACAGAGAAAGGTTTATTCTCCCTCTAACATCTGTAGAACTTTCATAATTAAAAAAAAAAGTTTAAATTTAATCCCGAGGGTGGACACGGGGGCACATGCCTTGAACCCTAGCACTCTGGAGGCTGAGGCAGGAGGATTAAAAGTTTGAAAAAAGCCTAGGCTTCAAAATAGGACCCTATCTCTGAAAGAAAAAAAAAAAGGCTTTTTGACTTACCTTAAAGCTCACTTCCACCCCTGGTGTCACTTTTTATGTTTACTTAATAAACTGCCTGTGGCTTGTGTTTTTATTAGTAAAACACAACATTGACAACAGCATGAAAAAAACTTCAGACTCTAGACTTTAAGAAGCCCCCTTTTATATCTAGCTTGGCATAGATTTCAGAACTTACGCTCTTCTCCATTTCTCTGTCTGCTTCTCTCTTCCCCCCTTTTCTCCATGTCACTTCCTGGCAGAAGGAATTCTGACTCTGAGGACGAGGACTCAGGCTCTCTCAGAAGCGCCACGATTTTTAGTAGGCTAGAAAAGGCAGAGCATAGGTTAGCCAGCAACTACCAAAGACCTTCACTCTTGCTGGAGCGAGCTACCAAACATGCCATGAGGTCACGGGACACCCCTGCAGCCAGGAGGACCAGTGGTGCTTTGGAGGAGTCCAGGTGCACCTCTCTGTATGAGTGACCTGCTTGTGGCTGACCTCAGACACCTTGTCTGACTGCTGCTGCTGCTCCATTAACCTAGGCCCTGGGTACTGACTCATGGAAGCTTAATGACACGGGTTAAAGGCACAGTGTGTAACGTACTGCCTTCTGCATGAGAGTGTTGGCACCAACTCTATAGGAATCAACATGCTATTAATACAATAACGTGCAAGGTGGTTAATATCTGCATGCACGAATTCTTTTGAAAACCCACTCCAAAAATGCTTTTTAAAATATCTAAATTTACTGTTGTGAGTGGAGAAAGGAAATCCTTCTAGATGGATCCTGGAAAGGGCAAGTCTAGATCCAAACAAAAAAAACACCTCAAGGTCTTTTGTATAACTCTAGACCACTTTGTTACTTCTACTTACCATGACGTACACTATGGTGTAAAGTATATGATGGCCAACTCAGCGCTTTCTAAGATCACGCATCCTTCTCTGGAGAGGGGATGAGGGCACCATGGAGAACAGAGTTAGGAAGTTGGTACAAGGAGTGGTGCCCATGACTATGCCAGGGAGGTACACTTGACCGGAGTTATAGATCCATCCCTTGTCCCTGGCAGTCTTCACATTTCCTTGGAAGTATAACCTGTTGTTTCTTTAGATGACACCCAGGAAAGTCCCAGAGAATGGCATTGAGTATTTGTCTCGTTTGTTATACCCCTTCCCATGGCTCCTAATCATTCACCCCCACAAGTCCTGCTTTGTAAACTGCTGCCTAATTACCACTCTCCTCGTACTTAATCCGATTCTCCCTTCCTTTTTCTTTCTGTGCTTCAGTCAGTTTTTATTGCTTCAGGCTCTTCAAACATACTCTGATGACATCTTGTCTTCAGAAACAAGCGTCAAAATCGATCCCACCTCTGGCCCAAGGCTCATAACCCGCAGAAAAAATCCCTCTCACACACCAGGCTATCGAGCGGATGACCTTGAGCTGCCAGCTCTGGATCCTGACTTAGAAAATGATGATTTCTTTGTCAGAAAAACTGGGGCTTTCCATGCAAATCCATGTGTTCTTCGAGCCTTCCAAGACCTTCGAAGGTTCTCTGAGCCAGACGATGCTGTTGAGCGAGATATAATTTTGCAGTGTCGGGAAGGTGAACTTGTACTTCCAGATTTAGAAAAAGATGATATGATTGTTCGCCGGATCCCAGCACAGAAGAAAGAAGTGCCCCTGTCTGGGGCCCCTGATAGATATCAACCAGTCCCTTTCCCGGAACCCTGGACCCTACCTCCAGAAATCCAAGCGAAATTTCTGTGTGTGCTCGAAAGGACACGCCCACCCAAAGAAAAAAGCAGCGGCTGTAGAGTCTTAGTTCCTTCCTATCGACAGAAGAGAGACGACATGTTGGCTCGCAAGATCCAGTCTTGGAAGCTGGGGACCGCTGTGCCTCCCATCAGCTTCAAGCCTGGCCCCTGCAGCGAGGCCGATCTGCAGAAGTGGGAGGCCATCCGGGAGGCCAGCAGACTTAGGCACAGGAAGCGGCTGATGGTTGAGAGGTCAGAGTGTGTTTCTGCAAGGATTTGGCTTGTGATGGATGGTCTTGTGTAAATATCCTTATGAAAAAAAAAAAAAAAAAAGCCGCATCGGTTTACTCAGCTCTGCATGTTGTGTGCCGTTTTGAAGCATCCTGTAAAAAAATTACTTGGCTTTGAGAAACTTTTAGTCATTTCATGGAAGAAGTGCAATTCCATATTTACTTGTCTTAGGATGATTTGAGAAGGTATATGCAAAGCTTGCCTCTGGCTTGGAAGTGTCCACTGTTATATTTAAATGTAAAACTGGATACAAATATTTTCTAATCATGTTTGCAGGTTTTTATCCTCATGTTTAGTATTTTTGTAGTAGTCTTACTTTGGTTTAGTTTTCTGTGCTTATCATGGTTTGCAGTGTCTTTTATTGACCTAAATATTTTCCTAAAATATATCATTGCAGATTTCATTTAACTTTATTTTTGTTGTCAATGTAGGCTTCCTGATCTATCAATTTGTAGCATTTTTATTTAAAATGTTCAGTGCAAGCACCATTAAAATGCATGAGTCTGTCAGACTGTTTGTAGTTGTGACTGTTTCGGTAACATGAGCCATGCTGCGTTTCGACAGCTGTTCTGTTCACTCTAAGTTGGGAATGGGCAAATTTGACTAGGTTGAATACAGTGAGTGGCCCTAAATCTAACTCAATTCCCGGTAAGGGGAGACCTTGTCTTATGAATTTGTTGGCTCAGAATAAATCAAGAAAATGTCAATATTATTTACCCCAGTTTAGGAGACTAAAACTTGAAATATTAAGAAGTGGGTAAGGACCAACTTGTTCAGATTTGCCCATTTCCAGTTAGACTCAAGTTAGAGATGTGGAATGCTTAGAAACTACCACAGCTGGAGAGAGTGACCCTTTTTAATCTTTGGTTTTTTGGTTTCTTAGACTCTTTCAAAAGATTTATGGTGAGAATGGGTAAGTTTTATGGTTCACATAAAAATGAATGCACGTATTTGTTTGTCTCTTCCGTAACTTACTGCACTGTGTCCTGGCATGTCACTAAATGGGGTGCTATGTGCAGTGCATGGGATTTTTATTTACTTTTTATTAACATTGCCACCTCATAGCAATATTTCTGTATCTAAATGACCAATGCATGAACTGTTACATAAAGCAATAATTTTTGCTATATTAAAATTTAGCTCCATCCCCCCCCTTTCTTTTCCTTTACATTTAATGATTGAAAGTAACAAGAGCCTAAGAGGATGTTCATTTTGGTATTTGATTCCTAAAATACACTAAGCTTCTGTTTTCTAGCTGTTGAAGGTCTTTCCCCCACAAACTGCATTTTAGAAAGTCTGTGATAGGAAAGGACATCACTGCTTGCTAAATGTAAGAATTCATGTAGCTTGCATAATTCATGTACTTAGCTTATGAGGAGCTTTGTTAGTGGGGATGGTTAATAATTTTGGGATATATTTTCAAGGTTCTTGATTAGGGTAGAAAGTTAATTGTAACCTGACTGCCTATAAAGAGCAAACTAGGCTTCCACAATTATAAAAAATAATCTTGGTAGTTTCCAATGTTGTTACAAGAACTATATTTAAATTATTTCTCAGGTTTTGTCTACTAGTATTTAATATTTATTAGGTAAACATGACTATGCAATATAAAACTGGCTTTCTCAAATTTTTTCCAGTCAGTTCCAGACTATTTTAAACTAAGTCATTCATTTTCAATGCAATATCACTAGGCTTTTAGTAACTGTGAAATTTATTGGTAATAGTTTTTGAGAAAAGTTGAAAATACCCAATATTTTAATCAGCCTCAGGAGTTGAGTATCTTCCCCTTACCATGGTTTATCTCATCTCTCAGAATCTCTAATTTTAAGAGTTTTTAATAATTTCAGTAGTTTAGAAATTTTAGAAGCTACCAAGATTATGACAAAATTCACTATAATAACTCTAGATACCAAAGATATGATTTAGTGATGGGCAGCCATTACAATTACTCCTTCCAGTGTGGCATGTGAAGGCACATTCCTCACACCACAGCCTCGTGTGCTCACAAGTGTCTCATTTGTGAGGGTGAAGAAGTCAGTCTTTGGTATAATACTTCAATATCTGTTCATCAACTTGTCGTAGGAAAGCTGTTTTAACCTGATTTAAAATCTCGTTGAGGCTTCAAGAATTCTGAACAACTTTCATGAGGAATTTTCATTTGTAATCACATTTGACTTTGTAGCATAAACACATCTCTGGAACAGTTTTCCTAAAAGGGGTACAGGTACCAAGAGTCTTAAGTACTTGGGGCATGTAAACACATAACTACCTCCCTCTCTGACGTGACTCTACCTGTTTTTTCTTAGTGTAGGGTTGTTATGTGACTTGAATTACCCCTGGCAAGAGTGGGCTCAATGATTGAATTCGTGCCTAGCTTGCCTGTGGCTGTAGGCTCATTCCCCAACACTCTGGACCACCCTAACCACAAACGCCAATAAAAAAAAGAAAACTTAAATATTCAACCTCAAAATGCTGAGGAATTTTTCTAATCCACAACAGTCAGCAGCAAAGGCTTCCACTAGACAATTAATTCCAAGTAGTTGTTTGGTTATCCGGATAACACAGTGTTTGCTTTAAAAGGCTATTTAAAAAAAACTTCATGCAATGTAGTGCTAAGGTAACTACAGGAATAAAGCAAGATAATCTATTAATTGAGACTAATGAATAATACATGACTTGTCAGATAATGGGACTTAATGTGTCTTAGAAAATGCCGCTCTGTTTACGAGCAGTTGTAGATTTATTTATTTTCCCTCTTTTATTCTATGTTTTATAATTACCAGTGATTCCTTACATTGATTTCCTACAGTGAGATTAAAATATAAATTAAAATCGAATTACTTATAGGAGTTTAATGTACAACAATTTCACATTTATGCTGGGTGAACTTTCTCCAAAAATAATACAGTGGAAAAGCAGTACTGTTTGATATCTCGTAATTAAAAACTAACTGCCCATCATGTGACTGCTTCTTTTTGAAGAGAAATATGTAGTATTTTGTTTTAGTTCTTTGCCTATGAAGTTCTGGCTTGCATTTTATGTGGTTTTTGGTGCTTGCGCATGCTATGGAAGTGTTTTACTAAGCTTTAGTTGGCATGTAACACATTATGTCGATTAAGAAACTTTCTGTGTGGCTGCCAGTTCTCATGTGTGTACCTTTGTGTTGCATGAATTTCCATTTGTGTGGTGCTATGAAGTTTGGGAATTGGTCATGTCTGATATAAGCTTGGTACTGACAAAGTTTGCAAGAATATAAACAATCTTGTAATGTGATAACCAGCGAACCCACTATCCGTATCACAAGGACATAAATGCCAATTACATGTGAATTGGCAGCCAAAGACAACTAAAGGCAGCTATATTTTTCTCATAGGGCTTGACCAAATGATTTTTCAGGATTATCAGGACATAAAATCAAGGCAGGCAAAAAGGATGGGAGACAAGTTGACCTGGGTTAATTTTTGCAGATTTTCTTTTTCACTCGAGGTGGCATCTAGTTATATCTAGAATACTTCTCATTATTACAGCCAAGTGTGTGCTATTTACATTTAGTGCTTTGTGTGTGTCCTACAACACCCAGAATAGCTCTCTATAGCAAAGATTTTCTGGCAGAAATGCTAATAGTGTTGGTGTTGAGAAAACCAAATAAGTAGGTAAATCTATAAATGAAAATTGTTCCCTATGTTCTCTTACTCGATGGGAATTTCAAAGTGTCCTACACAGGTTTTAACACCGTTATTGTTCACAAAATCCTAAAGTGTCTAATGAAAAAATATATACAATTAGATAAATTAGCATATTTATATTGCTTTCAAAGGCAGAGATCCTTACCTTACTGTTTTTTGAATTTCTATTTGCTACCCAAGGCTGTGAGTAAATTTATGTTTAAGAAAAAGTGTCTTATATTGGCTCTGGACTCTTCCTGTTATAGACCAGTGGTTCTCAACTGTGGGTTGTGACTCCTTTGGGGGTTGAATGACGTTTTCACAGGGGTCACCTTAGACTTTCAGCAAACATAGATATTAACATTACAGTTCACAACAGTAGCAAAATTGCAGTTATGAAGTAGCATCAAAGATAATTTTATAGTTGGAAGCCACCACAGCATGAGGACCTGTATTAAAGAGTTGCAGCATTAGGAAGGTTGAGAACTACTGCTGTAGACACTCATCTGTAAGTTTACTGAAGCCGGATTTTAGGATAATCCTTATTTCCAGCTGAATGTGTCAGATGCGTCATATGGACAAGGAAAGGAGGAGTATAAGGAAATTTTGTTTAGTGATTTATAAGCGATTCCTTCCTAAACTTCCTGTCATACTTCCCCAATACTATTAAATTAATTGAAAAGGCAAGATGCTTGTTCCACCTGCATTTTTGAGATGCAAATTCAAATGAAGTTGTCAATTAGAGCGTTCAGAATAAGGAAATACAACCAATTGTAGCAGGCAGTTCTAAGAGAATGACGTGACTTACCTGTGCATTGTCCATGCTGGGCATGTCCTTCGCAATTTCCTGGATGCTTTCTTCGGTGCTTATCTCAGTTCTGCGAGGCAGACAGGCAGGTGTTATCTGCATTCCGTAGACGGAGATTGTAGCTTTCCCAAGGAGGGAGGCTTTCAAGTAGTAGAACCAGACTGGGGCTGTGCCTCATGAGGCAACTCTTGGAGACTGCTGGGCAGTGCTGTTGCTACTCAAGGGACTCCTGGGACTTTGATGTCATGTGGTTAATGCTGATAAGGAAAGAAAGACTTCATCTTTGTACTCTAGACGTTCTAGATTTTATCTGTGTGGTCTGGGGCAAGCTTTCTAACTTGAAAGCAGTTGATCGAGTTAGTATCTACGAGGTTCCATTCGGTTCCATCTGCCTTAATAAGAAGGAGTATACGGCACCAGGTTGTTAAGAAGTTTACCAGCACAGCCTTACTTAGTTATCATAACTTAGTGGATGAGGAGCCAAGGCTGTGAGACGGGAACTGGTGTGTGTTCAGTGGGTGAAAGCCTATGTTGCAGCTGGGTCTGGAGCCCTCACTTCTTGTCTCTTGCTGGAGTCAATGCAGACTACTATGGTATGGACTCCCTGCTTTAATGGGGGTAACTTTACATACCCCAGGAACAAACTGTGCTCACATTCTTGCCTATAAAAAGACTTTTCTACTCTGGTCCATGTTCAGCTCGCTTTGTTCATGCTGTGTGCCTCTGGGCTGCTAGGCTTAGCTCAGCGCTCAGGCACTAGCAGGAGAGAGGCCATCTTACCTTTGACTGGCATATTATGTGGGAAAGCGCATAGTGATGCTTCCCAGCCCAGAAGGAAGAGAGTAAGACCAGAAGCCACAGAAGGTTCTAGATTAGTACAAGTGATTCAGCTTTCTTCCTACAAAATGATTAGTGGAGTATGAATTAGTATTTTATTTTTGCTTTACAGTTTGTGCAGCTTTGTGGGTTGCATGTCCAATGTCCCCTCATGCCTTGGACGTGCACATTTCCTTCCCATTTCTTACTGAATATTTTTTTTGAACTCAAAAAGCCTCTTTCCTGGTAGGCATAACATCAGTCAGCTTATATTCTCAAATCCACATGATCTAATTTGGTATGTAGTTATACATAGTGAGAGGTATATGATACATACGTAGGTTCATATATTTTTCTATAGTCATAATTTTATATGTAACTAATTCCATACTGAATCTATGCTATAAAACTTTGGAGAGAAGTTATGCTTTCCCTCAAAGTCAATTCAGAGTTTTCATGTTTGATTTCTATGCTCTAGCTAACCTTATTCTTAGCACAGATACTGAGTGTATCTGCAGGCACAGTACTGTGCTAATGTTTTCTTTCCAAACAGCATATGGTTTGTGAGAGAGATGATCTAGGTATGCTTGTGCACACTATATAAGATGGAACCAAGGATTAGTATCATGAAGAATACTATAGTCAACGTATGAGAGCAGGTGAGAGAAGGGGCAGTTCACTTTTCACATGGAAGAGCCACAAAGACTGTATGCAAGCAGTAGAACGCTATGTAGATCATTGATTGGATGTATTTTTAGGGTACTCACTATGCGCTGGTCTTTGTTTTAAGCCTAGCGATGTATCAGCAAGCATAGGTAATTCCTGATCATCTTACAGTACTCAGCAGGCAATAGGGAAGTAAGAATGTCTTAGATGCCAATAAATGTTCAAGGAGAGAGGGCTAGGGTGGGATTGGCCCAGAGAGACATTTGCAGGCTCTTGTAGAATGGAAAGAGGAGACACTGAATAACATTTAAGCAGATACTTGGAAGTGAAGAGAAGTCATGTGGCTGTGTAGCTGGATGAGAAGTATGGCAACTTGAAGAGCAAGGGCAGAAGCAAGAGGTGTGAGCATGCGCAAGACAGCCACTTGGCAGGAGAGTGAGACCAGGACATGGTGTTCCAAATGAGTGTGGAGAGGCAAGAAGGGACCAGATCGTGCCAGACCATGCAGGTCTTTGAAGAATCTACTTAGAATTTTGATGGGAAGAAGCTCAAGTCTGGGGTTGTGTGTGTTGTGACCAAGCTGACACTTAAAAAGTCTCTCCAGCTGCTCCATTGAGCATGTTGAGTGGGGAGTATGTAGAAGCAGGGAGATCTTTGGGAATCTCTAAGTGGATGATGTGATGGTGTAGATCAGTACAATGATGAGGAAGAGGTGAGAAATGGTTGGATGCTAGAAATAGAGAGCAGAGGAATTATGGATGGAATAAGTGTTTCGAGAGAAAGGGGAACCGAGTGACTCGAAGCTTTTTGGTCCTAACTGTGGAAGGATGGAATTGACCTTCCCTGAACTGAGGAAGACAGATGGTGAGCAGGTAACTGTGGAGTGAGCCTAGCCATGATTTTGAGTGGTATTTTAAAAAGCAGGGAGGGACCAGCACAGGGCTCTTGAGTTGGAGGGAGCATTTGAGGAAAGCCTTCTTTAATGATAATTTAAGCAGCTCTTTTGGAAATCCAGAGGAGGGTTGCCTGTGCCTTGATCTAGACTGATGACAATCGGGATGGAAAGAAAGCAGCATTAAATGAGAAGATATCTAATTGAAAGTGAAGTGAGGAGCAGAAACAAAAGCGAAAAGTGGTTCTTAGGTTTCAAATGCGGATGATTGAGGGCAGGTACCACCATTAACCCCCACAGAGGAAAAGTAGGCTTGAGATTGCCTACACCAACAATAACATCATGCTTAGTGAGGTGCCGTTTAAAAAACTCCCTTTTCAGATAGCATTTCAGCAGGTCCCCTTTCAGTTGAGGTACCTAGGGATATATTCAAGAATAAATGCCTATTCACAGGGAATTGGAAATGAGTCAAAGAGGGGCATGTCCTAGGCTGTAGCCTCCAGAGTCATTTGCATGGTAGTTACAATTGCATTCCTGAACCAACCAAGAGAGAGAGAGAAAAATGTGATAGCAGGACTGGGGAGAATGCGAAACTTAGGTGCCCAAGGATGCATCAATGTAATATAAAATATGGTTAATTACAATGCAGTGAACTCAGAAGTACAACAGGAAAGAGCATTTCATCTAGCCCACCTCTAAAAGTCCGTCTCTCTCACTGTCTTACTGTTCTCAGTGCTGACCTGACCCCTGCCTTTCTGGGAGGTCTTTTCTATCCATGCAGTCTGCACAGAGGTAGTAGTCATTTCCCAACTCAGTCACTAACCCAAGTGAATGAATCTCTTTACTGCTGAGAAGCAACTTTAAACTCTTTGAGAGTTTGAAGCCTATTAGAAGATAATAGTTTTTACAATGGCCTTTAAAATATGTAACAGTAATAGGGAAAAACGGTTTTGAAATCCCCACTCTGGCTTTATTTCCTGATTGCACATGTTCATGTACAGGGGTGCAAATTAGGCTATGAGCACTGCCTTAAGGAAGGTGAGGGTCCCTGAGGTGCTTCTGACAGGCTGTGGGAAACTACCTGTGGTCCAGCTGCACAGTGGTACAGTAGATCTTAGAGAATCGCTGAGGAGACACAGCACATCTTTTCACAGGTGTTGAACTTGAGGAGAAAATATCAGGTAGTCACTAAATTATTTAGCAAATGCTGAGCAAAAACAGCCAAACTTTACTAGGTTATCTTTGAGGGAACATGGACAAATTCAGAGAGGTGGTATTAGTGACTGATGGTCCCCGCCCCCAGGATAATCTTAGAGTTGATTCCTCTAAATACAAGCACTGCATTATTATTGTTAGAACTGTTCAAGGTTACTTTGACCATTTTATAGGGAAAAAAAAGCATCTCACACCTGAGTTGAATGCCAGGCTCTCGTTTCTGGGCTTTGGAAAAACACCATTTATCTGTGTCGTGCTATTTCAGGGACACTATCACTAAAGCATCTGGGTAGGGCAGTAGATATTTAGGTGGAATTTCTAAATACAAGCCCAGTCTCCATGTGAACCCTCAGGCCAGCCACGAGAACCTTTGTGATTGTAGGCGTTTTTTTGTGACAGGAGCAAGTCCATGAGCGATGTCAGCGCAGAGGATGTTCAGAACCTGCGTCAACTGAGGTACGAGGAGATGCAGAAAATAAAATCCCAACTGAAAGAACAAGATCAGAAGTGGCAGGATGTGAGTATTCTAGAGCTGGGAGGGAGGGGGAGAATGGTGCCCTTCTTGCTTCTCTTAAGGAAGTCACCGTACTTAAGAGACAATTTTCCTTGGTGTTTCAGCATTCCGTACAATAGAAAATGTACCCAAAGTACTCTTATATGTTTTACAGAGCATTGTAAAAATATAGAAGCATGCTTATCTCCTAAGAGACCATGAGTTCTCAAAGAGTGGGAAGTTCCTGTCTAGCAGGATAGTACACTTGCTTACGTGGGAGAGTGGGGTCTGACTACTAATTATGCCTCTGCTAGAAAAACAGCATTGATCAAGATTGAGATCTCAAGGGAACAGGATCGCTCAGATCTTGGCATGAGTGGGGAGAGGTGAACAGTTCTCAAACTTACTATCTGGAGATTGGGATGAAATACAACTCAGAGTAATATTTTGGCTGAAGTCGGTATCTAATGTGATTCAAAATTAACTGTTTCAGGAGAGCTGGCATATCCAAGTGTTTATAGACTTAACCTTTATCCTGAATCTTTTTTTTTTTTTTTTTTTTTTTTTTTTGGTTTTTCGAGACAGGGTTTCTCTGTGTAGCTTTGCGCCTTTCCTGGAACTCACTTGGTAGTCCAGGCTGGCCTCGAACTCACAGAGATCCGCCTGGCTCTGCCTCCCGAGTGCTGGGATTAAAGGCGTGCGCCACCACCGCCCGGCTTTATCCTGAATCTTAAAGAAGAAAGTATAAGCCTTTTAGTTGACTATAGTGATTAGTATAAGCTGTAGGCGTGTAAGGAACTGCAATAGACAAATCACTCTAAGCCCATAGAAGTTGGAGCACAGCTTCATGGTAAGAGAGCTGAGTGACAGCGTGAACAAAAGCACCAGAGAAAGCCAATCTTAATGTCCAAAGCTATTACATTGCTAAACTTCAGTGCCCTCTTGTAGGAAACTTGATTGAATAATCAAGAAACAACACACAGGGCTCAGCATGTGGCTCGGTGTCAGAACACGTGTGTGATGCTCTGACTTCAACCCCAATCCCTGCAAAAACAGTAAAGAATTACGTATTACTTTGCTGAAACACACGATGAGTTTTTTGGTAAGAAAATGATTATCAAGGTGGGCTTCCCATTAGGTGAGAGCACATGAATATTTTGGACACTATTTCTTTTGGGGGAAAATAGTTCCCATTGGTTTCAGGTAGTTTGAAAAGCAGGATTGGCCCTATCTGCCCCCAAAGTTTAGTAGGCACACTTGCTTTCTAAGCCCTGGGTGTGAGGTCTGGTTTGTTCTAAGACCTTTGGTATACTTCCCTTTGGACTGAGACTTCTCTTGGAATCCTTGGAATCTAAATATTTCTCTGATTTGGAAATGGAGAAATATTTGTAGTATTCAAAACGCTTCAAATCTCCAGTGTCACAACTGGCTTATGTAACTAGGTAATACCTGCATTAGATAGATTATCCAGGCTGATTTAGAACACGTTTCTGGAGATGTGGGAAGCAAGTAGGGGCTTGTGCTTATATGAGGTCCCCTGTTCTCTCCCAGGCAGACTATATTCTCTGCAATTATGGGTAGTCCAGTGTGATTTGTGATCTTCTCCTGTAGGTAGAACTGACTTTCCTTTAGGACCCTCGTTCTTCTCAGTAGACCTATCCACTAGGCATTGACCTCTATGCATAGTCTACCTTGTTGAGGGGAAGCACATCTTAGGCATTTGTGTGTTTCTGGGGATTAAACTAGATATTAATAAGATAGACCATTTACTTGAACTGGACTGTTACAGGGGCATTTCTGTCCCTCTCATCATAGCATGCATGTGAATCGGGTTTGGAGTGCTATGAAATTGAGTTTGAGAGACTTCCCGATCAATCTGATCTAGTACTTAATTGCAAGCATTTAGCATTCTTTGGGAAATGGACATTGATGTGATACTTTCGTGGATAACAAAAGTGGGATCTCTTATTAGGTCAGGGTTTTCTGGCAGGCACATGAGATAAAAGCTTGGTGCAGAAACACTGGCTATAAAAAGCAAAATTAGGGCATCTTGGCACAAGTGGGAGTGAGTGTTTGCAGTGGTGTAACAGGATACTCCAGCATGCTCTCGCCAGCCGCCGTGAGGAAAGGGTGTGTAGAAATTCAGGTATGACCGGGCTGGTGTGATTTCTTGTCAGGACCTTGCAAAATGGAAAAGTCGTCGGAAGAGTTACACTTCAGATCTGCAGAAGAAAAAGGAGGAGAGGGAAGAGATTGAAAAGCAGGCACTCGAGAAGTCTGACCGAAGCTCCAAGACATTTAGGGAAATGCTGCAGGACAGGTAAGGGGCTGGACCCTCCTCGTGTTTGGAGATCCCCTTGTCAGAAATGGAGGCTCTGCATGCAGTGGGATATGTGGTTACCAATTTTAAACTGTAAACACGTATGTACCGAAGCAGCCAGGATTTTGTTCTGAAGCATTAAAAAAATATTGCTGAGCTAGAGATCTGGATATCTGGATTAACAAAGAAACTATTACTTATTATTGGTGAGCAGTATTCTTTCTTTGTCTCACACTGTATGCTCTTCTGTAGGAGGAGGGGTTATTCACTGTATGTGATACCAAAACCAAACAAAAACTCACTGGTTTTTCTCCTTTTAAAGAGCGTTTAATGGAGTAGAGCATAGCGTAGTCAAATAAAATCAACTTTTACCTCTAAATGAATTTTATGAACTATAACAGACCTTTGTTATATTTTAGTGGTAGAGAATAAATTATACTTAAAGGAAGTCTATGTAAGTGTGGATGTGTAGGTTTATTCTTTGAGCTGAAATAGCAGGATAAAAGTGAAATTCAAACTTTCATGTGAGTACTTAACTGTGTGGACCTGGAGGAGATGGATAGGTCAGAGAGAAAGCAAATATTGCTTTAAAAATAATGTCGCAAAGGAAATATGCTGGCAGGTGAAGTTAAACAGAGCTCCTTTGTGTCCGAAATGCCAATGCTGAAGAGTTTCATTCACTTCAATACAGCAGTTAGCTAGGGAGGTAGGGACTCCCCACGAACTGGTTCATCAGCTCTGTAAGGATGGATAATAACCTTGAATCTATTATAATTGCCCATGGGGATTCTGTCAAGCTCCATGAACTGACTGGCTCTCTATAAAAGCCCGAGTCTTTTGTACTATTATTTTTTTACCAATACATTATACATTTTTTATAACGAACTTGGCAGATTCAGATTGGTGGCCAGCCATTTAAAGCATTTTGATCTTGGAAGACATAAGTTTGTGGCTAAAAACCTGAGAATAATCTCATGTTTTTGTTATTTTGTTATTAAAGTCTTTTATGATTAAAAATATCCATTTGAGAGCCTCTTTAACAAAAGGTCAGGTCAGTCTCTTAGCTGATACTTAAAAATGATGCACAATCACCTGTTAGTGTTGTATTGATTATTGTGTTCAGTGAATAACCACTTACATATTAGTTATTGTCTTATCCCTTCTGGGATCAAATGCATAACTCTGTCATAATGACGCATTTTTCTTTGCTTAAGGGAATCTCGAAATCAGAATTCTACAAGGAGGATGTATTCCTCTGATGACGCCCTGGATGATGAAGTAATCACTCCTACAGTGACTCTCTCAGAAACCAGCTACCAGACTGAGAGACTGGAAGTCAAGGCAACAACTTATCCTGCCGAGACGCCCAAAGAAGATTCCACAACTTTTGCAAATAGACAGGACAGTGTAGCCGCTGAGATTCCACTTCCTTCTCACATTCCTGAAGAGCAGCGGCCGGCCGCTTTGTCTGCGGCAGAACCACACCAGACCCCCCTGTCTTCTGCAGAACCACACCAGGCCCCCTTGTCTTCTGCAGAACCACACCAGGCGTCCTTGTCTTCTGCAGAACCGCACCAGGCCCCCTTGCCTTCTGCAGAACCACACCAGGCGTCCTTGTCTTCTGCAGAACCACACCAGGCGTCCTTGTCTTCTGCAGAACCGCACCAGGCCCCCTTGCCTTCTGCAGAACCGCACCAGGCGTCCTTGTCTTCGGTAGCACAGCGTCCAGTCTCGCTCTCTTTACAGCAGTCGCCGAGTACAAGAGGAGAGTCGACTCGGATTTCAGCTTCTCTCCCTAGAAGTTACCAGAAAGCCGATACAGCCAGGTTAACATCTGTGGTCACAGCGAGACCTTTTGGCACGCAGTCAAGGGGAATCTCATCACTGCCCAGATCCTACACGGTAAAAATGCCTCAGGTTCATTTAGTCTGTTCCCAAGAGCAATGAGTGGAGGAGCTTCAGCAGAAGCTGAGTTGGACATAGATACGGGATGTGTATGTGTAAAATGTAGTGTGTGTGTGTATACAACTTTCATGACAATTTAGATCTAATAAAAACAGGGGTGATTAAACTTTAAAGAACAAATAAGATACATTTCAAGACAACATTTATTTTTTTTCTTGCGTATCTTTGCCTGTAGCTCTTCTAAAGTTTTAGGTTGAACAGTATGACATTGACAGCAGTCAGCTCTTTTTTTAAACCTACGATATAGCAGTTTTTTAAGGCTCACCTTCAATGTTTTCAGGGTTGTATACGTAAGGTTTTGTTCTATCCTTCCTTCCTACCTCAGAACTTGATGCTTGAGTATGCTTTCGTTGAAATATGTCTGTTTGTATCTCTAATGGGATTCAGCACATGTGGGACATATTAGACTGAATTACGCAAATGAAGCAATGTGGTCTGAATATTTAATATTCATGTTCCTGTTAGTTATGCCCACCTAGTTATCTTAAGGTTTATACCTTAAGAGCTTAAAATCTTGACAAAAATGAGAATTATGGCTTAAGAAATTGTATTTGAGGTGAAAGAAGCCTACCTAAATCAGCCAGGAAATCCCTGACCATCCTGTTAAGGAAAATATAGACCTACTTGATAACAAAAAAATTAAACTTGTATGGCAGGCACTATTGACATAGGATGATTTGAGTCACAGTTATTATTAAACTGCATTGCAGATAAAGGGTTGACAATTCTAAGATGTTAAGTACTTTTATTAATTATTTATTTAGTTTTTTCGAGACAGGGGTTCTCTGTATAGCTTTGGCACCTTTCCTGGAACTCACTCTGTAGCCCAGGCTGGCCTTGAACTCAGCAGAGATCTGCCTGCCTCTGCCTCCCAAGTGCTGGGATTAAGGGCGTGCCCCACCACTGCCTGGCTGAAGTACTTCTATAATTTGATAAGAGAATGATAAACACTAGAAATGGACTGAACACATGAGCCGGCCAATTTAGTGTGGAGGAATGCAATGAAAAAACAGAGAGGCAATGTTTAGTCTCGTTAACCTGAGAATTAAGTAAACAACTTTCCACCCTTCTGACCGACAAATATTTTAAATGCTGAAATTTAAGCCTTGAGGAGGCTGTTACAGGTGTCCTTCTACCCACGAGTACAGGGCTGCTGTTTTCTCTGTAGAAATGACAGATACTTCATGTATAAAACCTTTGAGCCAGTGAGTTTCCGCAACATCTGGGCTCTAAAATAAAAGCTCCATTTATAAAGGGATGCTGGAATTGATTGTAGTGTTTTTGGGGAATGATGGATAGCTTATAACAATTTAATTATCTATCAAATGAATGATTGATAGCCACACTGTGGGGTTTCCAGCCATTGAAAGACCTAGTCTGGAGTTGTATCCGTTGACCGGGAGTGATACAAACAGAACAGGTTTTGGAAAACTATACATAATAATGCTTTTATTAGAACAAGTTTCTATGCTGGTGCACGTTTGTTAGTGTGAAGGAATGCACTCCAGGCTTTGACAATAGTTACTTTTCTGTGGCGGGTATATCTTACTTTAGTGGCTTTCAAATACCAATAGTGATGCTTTTAAAAGATCATGATGGGGAACGTACAGAGACAACTGAACCAAGCTCGTGGGAACTCAAGAACTTTAGACCAACGGCTGTGGAGCCTCCATGGGATGGGACTAGGCCCTCTGCATAATTAAGACAGTTGTGTAGGTCTGCTTAAAGGGCTGGCTGACAGTAGGATCAGGTCCCATCCTTGGTGCATGAGCATGGCTTTTGGGAGGCAAATTACCTATGGTGGGACACCTCCACAGCCTTGATGCAGGGGGAGGGGCTTGGACCTGCCTCAACTGAATGTGCCAGGCTCTGCTGACTCCCCATGGGAGGCCTTGCCTTCTCAGAGGAGGGAATGGGGGGTGGATTTGGGTGGGGGGGGAGGGACTTGGGCGGGCGGGAAGAGGAAGAGAGGGGGAATCTGTGGTTGGTATGTAAAATGAATAAAAATTTTCTTAATAAAGGAAAAAAAAAAGTGAACCTAAGGCTAGCAGGGTATCGGGTTTAACATGATGTTTCCTATCTAGATGGATGCTGGCTGGAAGTACAATGGAGATGTTGAAGTTGTCAAGAGACCTCAACAGAATTCGGTCAAAGCCAGTGCCCCGAAGCTTGACTCCACCCAGTTTGTTTGGGCCTCATCCAGTGAAAGGGAGGCAGCCACAGGAGAAGATGTGGCAAGCATGTCCTCCCCCACACCCACTTCTTCATCTCCATCCCAAGACCAGGCAGCTACTTCAAAAGCCACACTCTCTTCAACATCTGCCCTGGATTCGGTGTCTGACTCTGGAGAAGGGAGAAGCTCACCGCTGTGGGAGATTTCAAGGTCCCAGGTAAGTTTAGGAGGGTGCTTAGACATCTGGCTCAGACACTTAAAGATCTGAATCTGGAAACTGCTCTAGCTTCTAGCTTTACAGTATAGGCTGCTATTTATACTATGCAAAAACACATTGGTCTATTTTTAACAGATTGTGGAGGAAGCAGATCTTTCCAACTCTTAGTTTGTAGATCTCAGACATCTTTCATGAGCTGTCTCTGGAGACTTGGTACTCCTGGAAAGTTTGCCTGTAGTTTTTATTACTCCACAGTTCTCCAGTTTCTGCTACAGATCTAATGTATGTGCGAGTAAGCAAAAGCCCAAAAGCCTGTTTCTGTGGAAATTAACCAGCTGCAGAAAGAAATGGTCCCATTTAGTGGACACTTGTCTCTAGGGACACAGCAGTTTGTTATCTCTTAATCTTCTTGTGGCTTTCCATACTAATTTGACTTTAGAATGGTCACATTTACCATTATTCCTTGTCTCTTAGTGCGAACGATGAGGCTTAGTTACAGTTTGACAACTGTGCTTCTGAACAGTTGGACTCCAAATAAAATCCGCCAGCAGATTAAAAATGAATGAGCGTGTTGGTCATTTTTCCCATTTAAAACCCTAACAGATGGCTTTCAAGAGAATTATTAGGTGATATACTTTCTTTCAGTCTACGTGTTAAACCCACTAAAAGTCTTTGTCAAGCTAACAAAGCTTCTTAAAAAAAATAAAACAACAAAAAAGCACAAGCCAACAACAGTGTGTCAGGCAGCTTGCGAGTGTTTAAGCCCCTTCGAATGAAGTCATTTAGTCCTTTGGCTCAGTCTATGATTCCATGTTGTCTTCTTGGAGCATAGTTGTTTTCCAAGACAAAAGATAAAATTTGTCTCTTGAATATATGAATAAAAGAGATTTATGTGAAATAGTTTGGCATAGCATATTTATTTACTTTTATTAATTTTTTTAATTATAAGAAAATTTAAAAAAATTTCAACCCTCCCTTCCAGGCTGTAAGACACTTACTTTGTACCTGAGAAATATGAGAACTATAAGAAAAAAATCCTTGAGAAATATAAACATATAACTTAGAAATAACCATTGTTAGCACCTAGGTAACTTTAAGTTTTATTTTTCTTTGATGGTGGTGTTTCCTAGTTCTTGTTGTTTTTCTGTTTTAGAAAAGTTTTTTTTTTCCTACACATATTTACAAATGAATCTCTAAGACAACTTTTTTAGCTTGCAAAAGTCATCAGTTATAAATTATTGATACATTTTTTAAGAATTAGGTCTGTATGGTCAGCATTATAGGTCTCAGTGGATGAGACAGTACTTCTGTACTATACTTGGGGAATGTAAGGTTTCCATCGATGAAAAATAACAGCAGAGGCAAGTTGTCTTCTGTTCTATGGATTTTTATGTTGCCTACACCCTTTCAGAGAGCAGACTTCACAAAACAGCTTGATGAATGTGCTGCCTGCTAGATGATGGGGCCCTCCTTCGGGGTGGCAGCTGCCAAACAGGATTAAGAAAAAGAGCCCATGTGTGGAGTGTGGGTGTGTCCTACACTCTGGCAATTTCGAGAAGCCCAAATTAACCTGGCCTTGTTTCAGGTTTCATCATAGTAGATTTATGCTGTTTTCATCGAGTTTGAAGCCTTATTCTACCAGGGAAGATTTGGCTTCATTTAACCATTGAAGCTAGTGGAATTCTTGGGCACTGTTGTATTTCACATGGTGACTTGTCTGTTTCTATTTGGACTATCCTTGTCCATGCTACCAGATGAGTAGTTTATGGAGCAGAGAGGCTGTGAATACGTAACAGTTGATGGGTGAGACATACAGAGTCCTTGTATGTCTTCACATTCTTGCTCAAGCTCTGTTACTCTAGCTAGTCATAGAACACAGACAGTGAGTGGCTGAACACCTAGATGCTTCGGTAACTTTGGAAAATGACTCTCTTCTGGTCTTTCTCGTTACCGCCCTGGGCTTTTGCTGCTTGCTAATGGCCTTGCATTTCTGCCTTCAGGATCTCCCACACTGTTACCCTTTTTAATCTCTGTTGCTAGTATTGTAACCCAGGCCATTTTTCTGTCAATGGAAATGGCTCGGAGTAGCCTTAGGTGTTTGTTCTACATGACACTCAGTCATTTCTGTGTTTTCTAGAGTCTCCTAAAGCATTTTGTTCTTTGATTGAAGTTCAGGACACTCTGTGGAGAGCTGATGTTCTTCATGAATGAGTTCAGACTCCCTTTATCTTACTTCAGTACAAACTGTTGTTCAGTGAGTGCATACCATGAGCTAGACAAACTCCACAGGGTTATTGTATGAGTAAACACTTACCACAGCCCTGTGAGCTCATCACCATCATCATTATTCTTACACACAGATAACTGAATGCATAGATGGTCACACTACTTTTCCAAGACCACCCAGGGCACTAAGTGATGGAGTTAGGATCTAAACTCGGGAAGTTTTACTCAATACTGCCTACCACTTACTACACCAAAGGAAAGAAAGGCGCCTAAGCTTTTTGAGAAAGTTAGTTTGCACATATAACATATGTTTGTTATTATTCTTCCATTTGAAGTTGTTTACTTATCTCTCTGTTTAATGCCTTTCAAGTCCTTCAAAGCCAGGTAAAACCACTTCTTTCATGATACACATATTTCATCCTCCTGGTTGTAGTTGAATTGATTCTTGCAAGTTTCACTCACCAACTTCTTCCCTGATGCAAATATCCATGTCTTCCTCCTTCATAGATTAATTGTACCTTTTAGTCCACATACAGTGGTCAGGTAATGCTGACTGGACCTACATCAATGTTGACTCAAGCTACATTCAAGGCCTTGGTTACCAGCCTAAAAGATGAACTTGATCTAGGAGGCAATTTCAAATTCTGTTTGGTTCTTGAGTGTGGGAACTTTAGAGGTGAGGGATGTTTTTGGAATGCAAGCTCTGTGATGTTACAGAGCAGTATTTTAAGGAAGCAAGTATGCAAGGCCGAGGATAGGCAGGAGCCCATCACAGAACTGCGCTGACAGGGTGGTTTCTGTCATAAAGCCGGGAAGGCACAGTGAAGGAAAGACCTTGACATGACTGTAGCTTAAAGTTTTCCTGCCTGGCCCACAGTCAGGACAGACTCTCTCACCCGCCAGTCCCACAGCCACTCAGACCCGACCAAGTAAACACAGAGACTTATATTGGTTACAAACTGTATGGCTGTGGCAGGCTTCTTGCTAACTGTTCTTACAGCTTAAATTAATCCATTTCCATAAATCTATACCTTGCCACATGGCTCGTGGCTTACCAGCATCTTCACATGCGGCTTGTCATGGTGGCGGCTGGCAATGTCTCCCCCACCCAGCTTCCTGTTCTCTCAATTTTCCTCCCTGTTAGTCCTGCCTATACTTCCTGTCTGGCCACTGACCAATCAGTGATTTTTTCATTGACCAATCAGCAACACATTTGACATACAGACCATCCCACAGCACATGACTGCGTCCCTCTCTGCCCACACAATTTCCTGTTCCTTCTGTTGCTGAGCTGGTGGCCTCCCACCACCTTTCTTCCCCTCCCTCTTCTCTTGGGGATGTTGCCATTTTCCCTGCCTCCCTGCTCAATCCGAGTTGCCAAGAGACCAAAGGGAAGGGAAAGAGATTTCACTGAGGGTCCTTCCTCACCCCTCCCTAGCCTTACCTTGCAGATATGGCTTTCAAGATTCCCTCTCCACGCTTGTTTTGCTTACAAGTTTCTGTTTTCTGCCTTTTTGGAGCTGCCTGCTTGAAAATGCCACACAAATCTCCATCCCAGCCTTTTAAAGCAATTCACAGAAGGTGAATAATAGTACATTTTAAAGGAGGAGGCTTCTTACATGGTTTTCATTCCATTTATGACTGGATATGGCTCAGTCATAGAGCATTTGTCCACTGTGAGGATCTAAGTTCAGTCCCTCCAGTGCTGAGAAAGAACCCCGTTAAACAGCAGGGGGTGTTCCTTATTCTAGTTTAATACCATGCCTTTTATGTCATACCTCTGACTAGAGCCAGCTTACTGTGAAGGTGCGAAGCAACACCATCTTTCTCCTGTTACCACAGGACCTGAATGTGACTGTGTCCTCTTGGCTTTCAAATTAAGTTTATACGAGTTAAATAGGATTTTATTTAATTCATCCGGAAACTGCTTAATTAGCATGTATATTATATTTAATGTTGTTTCTATGGAAAACAAAGAAAAGTCTGGAGCACCAGCTACAGGCATTGGCACCTTTTAAAGGTTTCCTTTAATCTTCTTAGTACCTTGAAAGCAGGTGCTATTGACTCTAGAGTTACTGGTGATATACTTGAAAGCTCAGTCATATGACTTGCCCCAGGCTGGTGAAATACATAGTCCTCACTCCAGGTTCTCATACGCTAACCATTAATCATTATCAATCCCTCCTCCTCCATTATGGTATGCTCAAAGTTGAGGATTGCCTTATATAATTAAGACATTGGTATTGACTTATTATTTTTTTTTTAAATTATTTGTATGTGTGTGTCTGTCTCTGTGTGTGTGCATGTCACATGTGTGTCCACAGAAGCCAGAAGAGGAGAGGGTGTTGGATCCACCAGAGCTGAGTTACAGGTGATTGTAAGATACCTGCTATGAGTGTTGGGAACCGAACTTGGGTCCTCCAGCAAGCACTCTTTCCCATCGAATCATCTCGGCCGCTGCTGACTTATTTCTATCATTGCTATGTTTTTAGAATTTTATAACCAATAGAGATCAAAGTATCTTCTGACTTGCAGAGATAAAGTTATCACAAACTGGCCTCAAACTCAATTCTCTTACCTCACCCCCATACCTGACAATGAAATTATTCTTAAAATCATTTTGAGGAAAGGTGGCATTATATTTATAGAAAGTCACCTGAACTGAACTTATTTCAGAAATGTAGAATTTGAATTCTACCAAACAGGTACCAGGGAGCTATGGGCAATGTAAAAGTGGGTTGTGGTGTAATCAGCATGTTCTGTAAGTAGAGTTCTGGCAGCTGTGGGAAAGGAAGGCTGGAGAGACAAGAGACAAAGGTGATAGGGGCAGAGAGGGCAAATATGCCTCTGAACTCTGATGGGGACTTGTGGAAGGATGGAGAGATGAGTTCATTCATTGTCATGGTCTGTGAACTTGAGAGCACATTGTTAGAAGTATGAGTGGGGCAACAGGAAGAAAGTAGCGAGAGGCATTTCTAAGTCTCACAGCTAGCAGGGTAGTGAGGCATGTAACCTCGATGTGAAAAGCAGGAGGAAGCAGAGCATGTCTGGGAGGAAGATGTTTTAATTGTGGAACAGTTGGACCTAGTAGTTGAAGACACATTGATGAGTGCATGTGACTTAGGAAAACATATGGTCAGAAAGGTTAGGAATGACTGAGGAACTACAAGATGAAACAGAAAAGGACACATTGACAAGATTACGATGTGACTACAGAGACTGAGGGCGGCCGGGAAGGTAGAGGGGGATAATGGGTGACTTAGAAGAATGTTCCCCAATTTGGGGGGATCTTTGGAAGTGCCTGGTAGGATACACACACTTTAGTTGGATTTTGTAGGTAGAAGAGAAGCGTGGGAGGCTTGTGTAAGCTGGTAGAGGTGGGTAGGAAGGCCACCTGATTCTCTGTAGTGGTAAGTCTACTGAGGGTGGAGAAAGATTTAGGTAGATCTTTGGTGAGTGAAGATGGCTCCAGTATCAGAGAAGGGCCTTGATTTAAAGGCCACTTCCTCCCAGTTCTCATCCCAAGGAGACCCTGGAATGCACTAAGAAACCATATGGACAGAAATTTAAAGATTATTTTCTCCATTATTCTGGCTTGTGTCACCCAAACCTGCTTCTAGTGTCATTTTTTATCAAATGAGAAGGATTTCCTTAAGTCAACACATTTGTCTAGTTGGAAGCACTGAGAGGGAACAGTTTTGTTAGTGTATAGGTTGACTCTGGTTTTCATTAATTCCCATCTGTGGTGACATGGAAATCTCAATTCATCAACTCTAGGAGAAATAATTTGTACTCTTGTGATACCAGGTCACCCTTGTCTTTAGACAGTTAGAATCGCCTTCTGGCTCATCAGTCTGGCAGTGAGCAGGGCACCCTACTTTCAGTGGGCGCCTCTGTTCAAATTGTCGCCAGTCTGAGGGAAATTGCTTTTAGCTTAAATGCTGAACTGTTGATGGATAACTATAATTTTCTCTTTTCTGGCATGGACAACTGAAACTACTTGGATAGTTCATTTCTTAGTCACCGAAATTCTAGGTTTCCCTTGATAATTTATATTTTTGTTCCATCTAGTTCAAAAAGGTAACTCCCCAATTATCTTTTGTAGCTCAGATCCTTTGCACAGCACTCATTTGGCTGAAATTTCATAGAGACAGTTAAAACTCAGAGATCCTGCCTGAAATCATCATTGAATAGTTCATGGATGAATACAGTTATAGCTATGTTTGCATGTAAGAAGTCTTGGCTATAATCCATTAATCTAGGAATCCAACACTTCACAGGATTGCCCTAAAGTATTCCACAAGGCAGAGATAATACAACTGGGAGTCTGTGACCAACAACCCTCATCCTCAACACATCATCACATACTTTAATATGTGTGCATGCATACATGGGTGCATGTTTGTGTATCATGTACACATATGAATCTGTCTTCTTTTGGGTAGGATGCTGTGTACAAAGATTGTTGTGTGAAAATAAGGTTCTTCATGAAAAACTTGAAAGTCAGTGTCAGAGAGAGAAAGTTCTATTCCATTCAGTGCCATGCATGAGGTAACTTGGATATCGACAGTGATTCACCTTAATTGTCCATATGTTCCTCTTTTCTGCCTGTGTGTTGTCCCAAGGATGGACAGGACAGCCAGCCAGCATGTAGCCCTAGTAAAGTCATCTTCCCTGTTAGCAGGTTCAGAGAGGTGGGTACCTGTTCTTTTATTTAGTGTGTTCAGAGATTTCTTTATTTTCAAGCTCAGAATAGCCTTTTGGGGACAGTTCTACTGATTTACTGTAGTTGTGAAACTCTTCCCTCTATGGTTGAAGCCCATTCTCCTTCATCTTTTGTTAGGAAGAAAAGGAAAATGCTCACTTGCAGTCTCCCACAGAACATTTTTAAAATGTAGTTTGAGACTATTCATTAAAATGCCATCTCATCTTTTATTCTCCAACCATTAAAACCCCAATTAGTGGTTTGATTGCCTAACTTCTCATTTGTCTTTCTGTCTTCGTATAACAATAGATTCTATCCTTGCGTGGGCTTTAACTCAGGTCTTTGTGTGTGCAAGCCTGGTAAAGATGACCACTTCCTTCACCGAGTCCCGAGTCCCCTCTAATTTAAGTGGTAGTTTTGGCTAAAGAGTAGAACCAACTGGTCCCTTCTCTAGTCTATTCTCAGCCAAGTTTTATTACCTTTGGATTGACATTCAGTCTCATTAATAACACACATCATGAGGACATCTGGATGCCTCTATTTACATGCTCTTTCAAAAGGCTTCCCAGTGGAAACTTCGTGTTATTAGCTATACTCTTTTCTTGCTTTAGAAGGCCCTCAGAACTACCCTGGAATACAATTGTTCTTAGGAGCAAGGATCAAACCTCTTTCATCTTTCTTTGCTAAAGTGCTAAGTGCCATGTTTTACCGAGTCCACACACAGTAAGTGGATGTTGCCCAGTGAATAACTGAAGCATATTATTGTTCTTCCATGTGTTCATAAAACTTAGCACCTGCTTGTATCCTCAAAGGAGCCATAGTTTGTCCCTCTGGATGGCTTTGTTTACAGTTTCTCTCAGATGAGAGAACAGAATTCTGTATTTTATAGCATGAGCATCAGCAAGGCATTTGTCTCTGCATTCCCATGAACCAGTTGAACCAACAGATATGTACAGGGAGACAGAACTGGTCAATTTCAGATGGATTACTCCTACGGATAGCTGATCATACATCTGCGGGCCATTTGCCCAATTCAGCTACAAATGCTTAATGTTGGAGGTAGATTGCTTTAATCTGCTTCTGTAAAATCTGTCATTTAAAACAGATAATTTAAATTATTCTTTTTTTGTTCTTAAGCAGTGAATAAGTGGTTTGTAAATTAGACTTGCTTGTATGGTGAACAAAAGCCTAGACTTTATTTAGTTATTTACTTTATTTAAATAATCTAAGCATTTAATTCTGTTTCCTTACATATGGTGAGGAAGAAGATGGAGAAAAATGAACAGACCATGGCTAAAGGAAAAGCAATTGAAAAACCTAGACTTTATTAATGGCCAACTTGTTTGTAGGATTATATTGAAATGAAGGAAAACATTGGTTGACAATAGATTTGTCCTTACCTTATTTTAGCAGAAAGTTGTACTCTATCATGTACATATAAAGGAATGTTTTTATCAAAACCAAGGAAGAAAATGGGAAGCTGCTGTTTTGTCTTGAACTGACTCAGGTGTATCTTGGTGCGGCTTCCCGTCTTTCATGGATAGGTTTTCCTCCATGTGGGTGCCAGGGACACCTGATACCAGCGTTTCATGTTTACTTTCAGGATCAGTTCAGCGACATGAGAATCAGCATAAACCAGACGCCTGGGAACAAACCTGACTTTGGCTTTACAATAAAATGGGATTTTTCTGGGATCTTCATAGCATCAGTTGAAAAAGGTAAATCACATGCCTAACTCTATTGCACTACCTTGGCTGCGGTGTGTGTGGGAATTAGAAGCAATTTGGTATGTTTGTGGTGGGGGGCACATGGAAAAGATACATTTCAGTGGAGGAAAGTGGTATAGTCTTTCCTACATGACTAGTAGTTGGAATTACACATCACATATTGTTTATTCACCCTTTCTAATTCATTTTCATTTTGAAGAGTCTCTATTTTGTGACCTTAGAGAATTCTTTTTTAAACTCAGTTTCTAGAAATGTTAACAGGTAGTACTTATCTGAAGACTTAGTGTAAAATTTCCAAGGATAATTGTGTTTTGTGGCAGATATATACAGGCCTATAATAGATCAACATGGGAGTGTTGTTTGTAGTAACTTAAACCCAAGTGTGTCATACATGCTGGGTCCTCTGTCCCTGGTCACTCTCTGACAAGAATGATGCTTTCCAAGTGTTGTTAGTGTCTTATCTGTTATTTATTATGTGTTCAGGGTGCTTTAGGACTTCTGCTGGATGTTTACTCCTCCCACAGCCAGGGTTATACCAAGGCAAACCCAGCAACTGCCCAGTTTGCCCTCAAGGCTGAAAACTACTATGAGAGCTATCCTGTTTGATAGGAGGTCCCTGTTTATACATTTTTATCATACAGAATTGTATGTTGACATTGGCTCTTTCTTTTAAACGTCAAGATTGGTGTAATCAGAGTACTTTAAGTGGTAATTTTATGCAGTTTGAAGGGACTCTTTCCTTCTACACTCCCTACCCCAGAGTGCTAATTGATGATTAATTAAAGTATAATATATTTCATATTTTTAATTTAAAAATAGTTTCATTTTTCTTTGTCCTTAGAAGAGTTATTTTTTTTTCCCATTGGCTATACTTACCATTTCTCCTTTCAATGTTAATGAAGATGCAGACTCTGAAATGAATAATACCCCTGGTACTTCATGTGGTGTAGGGACTCGGCTATTAGATAACGTAAAAAGACCAGTGCTGCTTCTCTACTGGAAACAAAGAGAACTAGTTGAGATGAAAGAGTCATTTTCCTTAACGTAAAGAAACAACAGGGAGCAGGTCGTGTGGGTTCCTTTTCATTTGATTTTTTACTTTATTCTACATTGTTTAGGTAGCCCAGCAGAATTTTCTCAGCTGCAGGTAGATGATGAAATTCTTGCCATCAACAACACCAAGTTTTCATATAAGGATACAAAAAAGTGGGAGGAAACCATGGCAAATGCCCAAGAAACTGGAAACTTGGTGATGGATGTCAGGCGCTATGGAAAGTCTGGTGAGTTAGTTTCCCTCTGTGTCTGGCTTGCTAAATAGGAAACCCGACTTTGGCGGGTGGTTGTAACATTTGGCTTGATTAATCCTCTCCCTTACCCCATTTTACTTAGCTTTGTGCTTGCAATTGTTTTGCCATTGTATTGGAACAAATCATGAAACTACCTCTGAATATTCCTCCTGAAAACGCTTCACTAGCAAATCTACTGAATTCGACACCGTTTGACCAGACACATAACTGAACTGGCTGAAAGCAAATGCCAATTAAAAGCAAATATATCTGTTCCCAGGAGTCACAAAGCTGAGCATTAAGAATGGCACTTTGAGGTAGGGAGTGGTAGTACACACCTTTAATCCCAGCACTTGGGATGCAAAGGCAGGTGGATCTCTGAGTTCGAGGCCAGCCTGGTCTACAGAGTGAGTTCCAGGATTTCTGGGGCTACAAAGAGAAACCCTGTCTCAAAAACCAAACACCACCCCCCTTCCCAAAAGAAAAAGAAAAACAGAATGGCCCTATGATGCAACTTTGTCGTATTTAACTGTACTGCTGTCATCAGGCTCACAGTAGGACATATTCCTCTCATAGCATTTTAATCTGCTTTTTACATCTTTGTGTTTCTGTGTCATAAGTGATGGCTAGATGGGAAGGGGCATTAAGACTTCAGACCTACAAATTTTTGATGTTGGCATATAGCATGAGTTCCAGTCTAGGAAAAGAATCAGCACATTTGCTAGTTCTCTTGTGACTACCATGACTTTTAACCTTTGGGTTTTGGGAAGGTGGTCTGCCGGTAAAAGCCCTAAAGTCTCCATGTCGTTGACACACTACCTGATTCATCTGTCTGACTGTACGTCTGTCTGTCTGTACATTTTGTATCTGTGCATTCAGTAACTTTATTCTTTCCACTTCAACATCTATGTGCATTCATTACTTGATCTTCATGTGCCAATCAGACTGGGGCAGAGACCAACCTTCCCTGCCATCTATACAGCATAAAACCCTCAATCTTACCAGTGTGGCTACCAAAATTATAGGTTCACCTGAAACCAAGTGGACTGATACGACTTCAGGGATTTACAACACGGACAAGTCTTCAAGTCTGTCGGTAACAACTGATTTCTCTGAAAGCCTTCAGAGTCCTGTAAGTGGAACAAAGTAACAGCAGAAGCTATATGTGGGGAAAGCAATCAGTTTTGAAATTATATAAAATATAGTTTGGTTATACTTAATAAATAGACTAAAGTGTAGTCCTGAAAATACCGGACATTTTTATTAGCAGCCTTTTATTATTGAGTTATGTAATGGTAATATCATTCCATAATGTTGCTCTGCAGGTATTTCTCATCAATCTTTAGTCATTACAACCATCTCTCAGATCAGTGTGAATGAGAAATAGCAATTGTGAAAAATTATATGCTATAAATTGTGTTCTGTAGTCTATTGGTAAAATACAGTCACTCTGTACACCATGAAACTTCATGAAGCATTTTAATTGGATTGTATGTGTGATTAAGACATAATCAGTTTCATGAATTGATTTAAAAAGCAAAATGCAGGAAATTTCAAATTTTTAATGCAGGAAATTTCAAAAATTTAAAGCAATATTTTTTTATACAGTTTAAAAAAACTGGTTTCTATTTCTAATCAGAATTCATTTTAATTGATAATTTAAACTTTGAACTGAATAAACTTATCTAAAAGGAAATATTACATTTTTAAAGGATGGATTTAAATGTTAAAGAATCATAAATGGCCGTTTTATTACTCATAAGCCAAATACTCATAAATTCATAAATATAAGCCAAATGTATGAATATTTTATCTATCATGCCTCTTAGAATATTAATGACTGATTAAACTTATGGTCATTCTTGCCTATAGCTAGTCATTAATCCTTTCACAAGTATTGGAGAGTAATGAAAAAAATTGCTTTTAGTACACATAAGAAGCTGTGAGTAATGAATCAATATCCTGAAAACCCCATCTTGTTTAAAGATATTTTTCCCTAATGAGAGATGTATTATTTAAGCCCAAAGTCCAATTGGAGAGAATGTTAATTAACATTTTTACCCTTTCCAGTATACTGAATCCAAAGAAATCAATGGAATTCATGAGGAAAGCAACACCTTTGATTCAAAAGGTAAAGATCATTCCTAAATTACTTCCATTTGTTCCACAGGGTGAGTTATAGCTCTCCAGTTCTGCTATAAAAATTAATATATGTGAGCGAAAGAAGGCTGGATGCAGAGCCAGTCGAAACCAAGATTAGCATGTAGATCCGGTTGCCACCAGGTGGGAAGGAGTCGGTTCCAGCGTGGAACAGTTCAGGAGCTACAAATGAAATTTGGCAGCAGGCTCTGGAGCTCTGGGTCCCTGTGTGCCTAAGCCAAATAAGAAGAACAGGTTTTCCTAGAGCCAGCGGCTTCCTGGCTATGGAGGGTTGGCAGAAGGATCTTTATTAAACACAAAATGATGAGGTTTCCTTTCTCTCTTCGTTATTCTGGAAAGGACAAATGTGCAGGGAGCTGATCCTGGCAGAGAATCACCAACGACAGGACAGTGACAGTTGAGAGGGCCACCTTCGTTTGTCTTGAAAAAGAAAGCGGTGGAAGTATCCAGGGTGGTGTTAGAGTTCTCACTCTCTTCTCTGCTTTGACCATTCAGAAGTAATTTAGCTACTGAATGCTGTGTGTTATTCCTTAGAGAGATCAGAAAGATCTTTCAGGTCCATATAGGCAGGAAAGAGGTCAGAAGAGGCTGCAGGTTTTACACCATGAGGCCAGGCCTCCTGTAGTGGGGCTGTGCTTGCTTTGGTGACTTTAGACACAGTTGGGTAGTTTGTAAATATGTTGAACAAAGCTGACTAAAGTTTATGAATTTGCCTCTCCTCTATGATTATTATCTTTGATGTTCATTTCTAATAACTAGAAGCTATCAACAGACTTTTAAAATAAATGTTGCTTATTTTTCTTCATGATACTAAAATCTAAGGAATCCCAGTTCTGTTCTTCTAATGTCCCAGGTAGTAGAGCCAATTGATAAGACACCTATGTGGTGACGGTGTGACTCCATGCAGGGCTAGCTACTTCAGGATTGTTTAGAGAGTAAGCACCAGCCACTATCAGGTGATATCTACAGTTTGTACCATGGTTTGGGGACTTGTCTGTGGGAGAAGTCAGATTGTGTTTTCTTTTTCTTTCTGACTAACCTCCACTAAGCTAGCATCTATACATTCTTAAATACTACCCCAACATATTCTAATCAAAGATACATTAGTTTTAGCATTTGTTTTCATTTGCTCGTTCTTTAGGTTGTATTGCTTTTGATGTCTTCTTCTCCAGACACTTGTAAATTTCCCTTCATCATGTTGTAAAAATGCTTTGGTAGAGATAATTTTAGGTTGATTGACCTAAGCAAAAACATGTTTTCATTTCTTGGAGGCCCTGTGCTCTAATGTGATGGTATGGTTCTCCTTGCTGTGGAAGTCCAATGCTACTTACTAAACATAATTAATAAAAGTATTTGTTCCTTTTTCTAATTTTAATGTAGTGTAGACTACTAAAATATGTGTGTCTGCCCTGATAAATCTCTATGTTCAGTGGCTACCAATTTTGTTATTTAAAAAATAACATTGCTGCAGGTTGGAAAGGTATATCAATATCAAGTGTCATCGAATTTACTAGTGGTAAGAAATTAAAATGAATGATGGTATTTATTTTCTTGTTTTTCAACTAGCATCAGAATCCATTTCTTTGAGAAATTTAAAAAGGCGATCACAATTTTTTGAACAAGGTAAACTGTAAAGCTACCTCTTGGTGGGCTCTCATGAACTTGTCTCTCCACTCCTCCTTGTAGTCTGTGGTTCTGGGCACCGAGCTCCTTCCATCTTGCTGTTGTTATGACCAAGCAACGTAACCCATTTCCATTCTTTCCCCAGGATCACCAGGCTTTTCTTACAGCTCATGGGTCTACCTCTGTGGTAATGGGTCTTTGCGTGTCCTTTGTCTAGCTCTCCAGGTGTTTCTCTCTTTTAACCTCGTGAAAAAACAAAACAAAATATTCAAAGCAGTTAGATGCTATTAAACACATGTGTTTTTCCACTGGGTCACAGTAAGAAATGAGGAATTTCATTTATGCCTTACTGCTTCCTATCATTTGCACAGTGTTAAATTACACCAACATATGTTTGGTCAACTTACCGAAAAACAAAACCCTGTTTTTGGTCATGGGGGGATACTGTTAATGAAGGACAGAGTTCCTTGTTGCTGTTGGAATGATGGTGGAGGGCTGATAACGATGGCTCTGTTGATGTCAAAGGAAATTCAACATAAGGAAAATTTGGTTGCATCTGAGCACAGGAGCATTGTGAGACCGTCTATGTTGGTGTAGCTGTGCATGGCTGCCTTGTGAGGTGTGATGCATGTGGCTTTTCTTCATCCTCACATTTGTCTAACGCTCTGTCTCCTGAATGTGGTTCCAACTCTGTTTTGCTATGAAGAACTTAAAAGTAATAGATAACATTTTAGATGCAACATCACAGAAGATTTACTGTTGCTATCTAAAAATGTTACTATTCCTTTAAAGATTAATGAAACTTTTCAAAATTCACTTTATGATACCTACTGGGTTTGTGTCTGTTGTGTTTATTGCCTAATATTCTTCCTAAGGTAGATTACGTTTCCTCTCAGACCATAAATAGAGTTTATCAGCTGTCTTTGGTGCTTTTGATTCATAGGTTTTCACTAAACTCACTATTTTCTGTGGCTAGTCAATTGAAGTGATAGCACACTTGTAATTCATCTGGCTAAAACAAAATAATTCCTCGTCTTTTGGTTTTCTCTTTTCTTCAATGAGCTATTTTAGAGAAGAACATTTTCCTAGGTCTTAAAGCAATTTTCTTTAAATAGTTATGTAAGTGAACAGTTTATGTGACAGCTGAGAATTCAGGAAACTTTCTAAATACTTCATAATAGCATATTTTCTGAAAATTCACTTTTCTATAATTGTATAATGTGTTGACACACATTACTATAAGCTCCTTGATGATATTAGCCCAGTGTAGTCATACACAGCTCTAATACAAAGGCTAGGCAGGAAGATTAAAAGTTCAAGGCCAGCCTGAACTAAATAATGTCTCAAAATAGTAATAAAAAAAATTAGCCAGGCAGGGTGGTCCACACCTGTAATCCGAGCACATGGATGATGGAGGCAGGAAGGCTAAAAGTTCAGAGTCGGTGTTGGCTTGAGGTCAGACCTGGTCTCAGAAAACAGCAGCAAGATATAATAATAATAATAATAATAATAATAATAATAATAATAATAATGCCTGATAGTTTACACATCATCCTTGAATACCTGTGTTTCAAATAGTAGAAGATGAAAGGAGTCTTGAACTTGTTTTTTGCCATCATATCAATTAGAAAGCAGCTCATTAGCAAGGAGACCTGGAAAATGAGAATGGCTGCTGTCATATTTTTGATGAATATTTGCAATAATTGGGCTTGGGAGATGTTGTAATGTTTGTGTTCTTTCCCCCTATTACACCAAACTATGAGACACTTTAGTATCAGCAAATCCTCTTATGAAAGGCTCACCAAGTTAGTGCTGTTCCCTAGAGTTTGGGGCCCCAGCGGTTTCCACTGTTACTAAATTTGAATTTGGGAGACAAGTACAGGTGGAGCTGAAGGGAAAGGCTGCATAGGTGACTGAGTTACAAAGAAAACTGATGTCACTTGGCGTACCAGCAGAGATAGCGAGTGATCGAACGCCCTGGAAAGAATTACTTTGTAGAAATGGCGACTCACATTGTGCTTTTCTTCCTTCCTTGCCCACGTGCTGCAGGGAGCTCCGATTCTGTGGTTCCTGATGTGAGTATTAGACTTTTGTAGTTGGGAATATGTGAGGGACGTTTGGCGGGACTGGATTACCACACAGTGATATTTCTCGCATTGTTTGAAGATACATAAATGTCGATCGGGTTGTAGTATTCTACGCTAAAAAGATTGACGTTGAAATGCGAGACCATGTCTTCTCTGGTATGGTTAAAGCCAGCATAGATGAATAATTGATGAGTGTGGATGAGTTTCAGTAGATGACTTAAGGCTGTCGTTCTGTGTTTACATCTCTTGTGCCGCAAACTGACTAGCTTCCGGTTCCAACCCTCAATGCCCCGAGTCGCTGGGCATGGGATCAAGAGGAGGAGAGGAAACGGCAGGAGAGGTGGCAGAAAGAACAGGACCGCCTACTTCAGGTAACACACACACCTGGGGGAATGGGGGCCCTAGCTCTCTGGCCAGTGCCCATCAGGGATGAGAAGCCAGCTGGGAAAAAAGCAGAAGCAAACCAGCATCCTCAGTACTAGCAAACCCTTTGCATATTGTGTGCATATTTTGCATTACGCCCTTACTTTCCCATTTTGATGATTGTATAAACTATCATGAACCCCTGTGGACACTTTAGAGACATGAGGGGCTCAGTCTGTGAGAGGCTCAGACTGTGAGGACTTGTCCCTGTCACCTGAGGAGGTCTGTTTTGCCATCAGTCTCCCTTATCCTAGCTTGCAGGCCTTGATGAGTTACATCAACAGTAAAGCTTGGGCAGAGGTCTCTTTCCATGTGCCTACTTTTTCCCGACATCTGGACATCTGCATTTTAGCTTAATGCAAGACTTTTTCAAGACATTTTTTTTTTCCCCCTTCAGGGACTAAACTCTGATTGGTCACATGACAGTTTTATTTGGAGGTTTGGAGATAGCAAAATTGCTAATGGAAAATGTTCTGCCTCCCATGAGAAGGCAACCGTGATTAATTATTATGCCATATTTCCCCATAGGAAAAATACCAGCGTGAGCAAGAAAAGCTGAGGGAAGAGTGGCGGAGGGCTCAGCAGGAGGCGGAGAGAGAGAATTCCAAGTACTTGGATGAGGTAGCATGAAGCATGCCTTGTTTCCTTCCTTCTCTGTTCCCTTCTGCAGAACCTAGGCAAGGAGCACCACACCCCACTTCCCTGGACACACTCGCCCTTCTGCAGCTCTTTGGAATATATATTGAAGTCTCATGTGTTAGAAACTTGCTTTGGTATTTTAACTTCTCTAGTAGTTTTCCTAATGTATCATCAAGTAGTTATTACCTAGAACTTGAGTGGTCTTTCTGCTCTTAGACTTCAGTTATTCACATAGCTTCTTTTTTTTTTTTTTTTTGGAGCTGTAACTATCTTCTTGGAATTCTGGGATGCTTGCCATTGTTCTCATCCAGAGCTGAACCTATGTGAAATGACAGAGACACAGATGGTGACGTGTTTCTTTTTTTCTTTCTTTCTTTTTTTTTTTTTTTACTGGCTACCTAGGAGCTGATGGTTCTAAACTCCAACAGCATTTCTCTGAGCACACGGGAGCCTGTGGCTTCCACCTGGGAACCCACTTGGAGTGAAGGGTCCAAGTCTTCGGACAGGGAAGGAACCCGAGCAGGAGAGGAGGAGAGGGGACAGCTGGAAGAGGATGCTGTTTATGAGGACCAAAGTCGGAAGCTGCAGGAACAGCTCATGCTTGAGCAGGAGAAGAAACGGAAGGAACAAGAAGCTCAGGAAGAAGAACTTCGGAAGCAGCGGGAGGCTGAGGCTCAGGCCCAGGAAGAGGCGGAAGCCAAGGCCCGCGCAGAGGCCCAGGCCCAGGCGGAGGCCGAAGCTAAGGCCCGTGCAGAGGCCCAGGCCCGGGCCGAGGCTCAGGCAGAAAGACGAGCTGAAACACAGAAGCACCAGGCAGAGAGGGAGCGAGAAACTTCGGTGAAGATCTACCAGTACCGGAGGTCTGTCCCCATAGCTGAAGGGCACGGAGGGGTTTCAATAGCCATGGCTTTGTTGGGTGCACCCTGTTATGTCTTCCCTCCTCTGCCATTCTTGCTTCACACAACGGAAGCAACCAGTTCCCAAGAGCCTTTAAACCACAAACAGCAGTGTGCCCCTTTAATTCCCACAGCTCTTGCATGGGTTCCTGACATGTTACAACGCCATCAAAACTCCTTGCCAAAGCTGGAAAGCTCATGTGAGCTTTGTCTTGGCCTAAGAGCGTGGCTAAGAGCTTTTAGCCCTTAGCATTTAGGAAAGCCCTTAGCATTTAGGCTCTTCCCCGGTTACTGTCTCCCTTCCGTGAAAATGCAAGCAGGCGCTGCCTTGGACTTCAGGCTTTTCTGTTACCTCTGAAAATGTCTTCTCTTACATATGTATGGCCCACTCATTGGATTTAAATGTCTACCTTGACATTACCACCTTAACCTTTCCAGAATACCCAGTTCTGCCTCCCTACCATTTCTTTCTACACCACACTAGCTTGCATTATTTTCTTCTTGGCCTGCCTACCTTAAAAAGATGTGTTATAAAGCAACAACTTAAAAAAATAATTTCTGTAGCCCTAGATCATTGCCAGAACATGGAGCTCCCACCCACCCCAGTGTATACTTATACAGTAAATGGGTGACTGGACATGTGATTAGCAAATGCCTGTAGGTCTGTTTTCTGTAGCAACTGATTGAAATGCTTGTCTAGCTCTTAAGCTATAGACAATTTGCATAAAGAGACCAGAATGCTATTTTGATATCCCTCAAGTCAGGAAATGTCTTAAAATTTGGTATTGTAATAAAAAATTTTCCTTACTTTATAGGCCTATTGATTCCTATGATATACCCAAGAGAGAGGAGGACCCTTCAGGGCTGCTTCCTAGTGACAGGTGTGTGGACTATTGCCTTTTACTTGGTTAATACTAGTTGGCTTCAGATGAATGTTCCTCAGTTCACCTAGGTGATCTGTAGAGCTACTTTAGCCTTTTGTCTTGTGGAATACCAAAAAAAAAAACCAAAAAACAAAAAACAAAAAACCAAAACCAAAACCAAAAAAATCCCTTGAAGATTGTTCTTTGTATCAGTTAGTTTTTGCTGTGAAACAATTACCTTTAAACTTAGCTTATGATTTTATGGCTCAGCATTTTGTGCCGAGCTCATTTGGAAATTTTGGTTGTTTGGGCTTAGTCACACATCTGCTGTTAGTTATCCAGAAAGCTCTGCTTTGGGGAGTTGGTGGAAGTGTCTGGGGAAATGAGAGTGACTATAAGCCAGTGGAATCATATATGCATGGTGGATGGGCAGAGAAGAAATAGAAATGATGAAAGATAGTCTTCAAGACAACTGAGATCTAAGTTATTGTTTAAACTAAAGTCCAAGGTTGCTTCAAGCTAGAGTCATCTGTAGGTGATGTATATTTGTGATCTAAGCGCTCAGGTGGCTGAGACAGAAGGACTGATGTGAGTTCAAGGCTAGCCTAAGCAACATAATGAGATCAAGGCCAGCCTAGGCTACAAAGCAAAACCTTGTCTCAAAAAACAAACAACGACAACAACAAACAAATCAGAGAAACAAAAGCTGTGCCACTCTCCTGCCTGTGGGAGGAGTCACTTTAGAAGATGAGTAGACAAAGACGTCCCTTTTTGGTCACGCAGAACAATGTTTAAATTCAATTTTGGGACAGGGTCTCCATAGGTACTCCAGGTTGCCTGGTGCTCACTCTGTAGCCCTGGCTAGCATCCTTTCCACCTGTTGGGACTACAGATGTGCGTCACCTTATCCAGGAGATCATTTGCTTTCAAAAGGCAAGAAGAGTGGTTCCAGATCGCCTAAAAATGATTGTTTTCAGGGAACCTGATGAGAATCGTGACCTTTCTCTTAGACATTATGATTGGAATCACTGATCAGGTTTAGAAAGGAAAACAGGATTTCAACTATCAGAAAAGATACAAGGTACATGTGTTTAAAGTTTCCGAAAGCATTAAGCTTTAATATTTCCAAGTAATTGAAAAAACCACTTTGCTGTTTTGAAAACACTAAGGACTTTGAATAGCCCATCTATAAGTATCCAGTTTGTAGGCTCGTTAGCCTTTGCCTGAAGAGATGGTGTGCTTCCTGCATGATACTTGCTGTCTTCATTAGATATAGGGAAAGAGGCACATTTACTGGCAGCCATGGCTGAGGAGAAAGGAGGCAGAGCAGGAATAACTAGGTAGGAATGACATACAATAGCTAGAGAAAAGCCTCCTGATAAATGACCTGATTATGGTGAACCCTCCAAGAAACTAGAGATCATTAAAATGTCCCCTCCCCTCACTCATCATTTTATTCACTTTACATACTTTATTTCTCAGCACAACTCCACAAGAAGGTATATTTAGTCCTATTTTTTTAAATATATAATGAAACAGAAACTTACATAGGTTGACAGTTGGCCAAGAGCCCTGAGATGAGAAAAGCTAGGAATCGCCAGTTTATCAACTTTCAGAGTTTAAACCTTCATGCATTGCTCATCTGCCTAGAATGCAGGTAGTAAAAAGATAACTAAGAAAGAAACCAAACAAAAGGTCAGAATTTTGATTCCAGCGCTTGGGAGGCAGAGGCAAGGTATCTCTCTAAGTTCAAGACCAGCTTACTCCACATCTATCTTTTAGACCTATGATGGGATTTATATAGTCAGGGAGTATATACTATATACTATATATTATACTATACTATATAATATAGAATACTATAAATAGTGCTATATATACTATATACTTTATTGGCAGTGGGGAGTACAGCCTAACATCTGGTGACAAGTGTTTTCTTTGTAAATACAGGGATGATCTGACAGATGTAGCTGTCTGCCAGTTCTAGCACATTATCATGCATTATAGGTTATTACACAGGACGCAGATATACACTATATATGCACATCTATATATGGTATTGTTACTACTTCTGAAGTTCAGCTAATTTAGTAGAATGAGGAAATGAGTTTTCCCCTTTCATAGACCTGAAAATATCATTTTCATAGTAACTTGCACAGTTGACATGCCACCCTACCTGTTCGGAATGCCAGGGTAGCATTTGGCAAATGGATGAATGACACGTGGCCTTCTGATGCCTTAGGTGCCCATACCTTGATACCAGGCAGTATGGAGGAGGCAGCACAGACTGACTCTGAATGAGCTGGTGGCTGGTGCAGGAGCCAGCATGGGAAGAGCAGTCTCCGATCATCTTAGGAAGGAAAGAGGGTCCCACATGTTGTGTATTTCCAGCATTTCTTCTGTTTTCTGCTAGTATGCATAATATGAAAAATTCCTGGGTTTAAAAATAAACACAGCTCCCAAAAGACATAGAAAATCAATATCTACTTAAAAAAATCTTTGCCAAGTGTAGTGGCGCAAGCCTTTAATCCCAGCACTTGGGTGGCAGAGGCAGGTGGATTCTGTGTTTGAGGCTAGCCTGGTCTACAGAGTGAGTTCCAGGACAGCAAGGGCTACACAGAAAAATCCTGTCTTGAAAAAAACAAGCAAACAAAAAACCAAACCAAACCATCTTTTCTTGAATAAAATAAAAATGTTAATAAGACATATTTAATATATTCTATTTTAGGAGTAAATCAAGATCCACTACGGAACTGAACAATGCCCCCACAGAGAAGAACGGTATGTGTGATTTTTGTATTCAAAGTTTTTTTTTTTAAAAAAGCACAGTTACATATTTGAGTGGTCATATACTATGATTAGTATATTTTTAAGTGCAGGAAACTTTAGATTCATTAATATTAGATGGTTAACATGCTATTTTGAGTATCTTTAACAAAACAACTGTCTTGTGTTTAGCTTTTTTTTATAATGGAAAGTGTACTGCACTAGGGTATTTGAATAACCAAGAAATATGTGGAAAATTTGCAAAGAAAATGTTGACCTGGTTTTGCATAGTAGATTTTATCTTGCAGCTAAGGAATAAGGACAGGAAATAATGCAGAGGACTTAAAAATATGTATAAATTTGAAGTCATTCATGTAAATGGTAAAAGGTCTGAAAATTTAGTGATAGGGTTTTTTCACTTCATGAAAATCATTTGGAACTTGGAGCTTGATATAAAATATAGTTCTGGTTAACCCCACATAACTGAAATTATATAAGTAAAGAAAAAGCCCTAAGCAATAAGCATCATATGTACAGGTTTGCATAAGCAAATTATTGGTCCGTTATGCCCATGTAGAAAGATTCAGGTGGGGATTGAGCAGACAGACAAACTTTGGCTCTGTCATTGACCTCTAAGAGAATTCATATCTGTGATGCCAGCTATTTCTGTTTTTAAATGAATAAATAATAGTTTGTATTCCATGTATTATCTTTAAACTACTGAGAAGAAATTTTTAAACATTCAAAACTCATTATAAGAAAATCTTTTTTTTTTTTTTTCCATTGGCCTGGGGTCTGGTGGCAGCTGATATGTATCTCTGGTCAAAGCTCATAGAATTAAGTTTTCATTAGGACAGGTGGCAGTATCATCAGGTAAATAGGATCTTCGGTTATCTCTGCCCTATTTGACATTCTAGCATTTTGGATCCACCTTTCCCTTTAGGAAACACAGCTCTAAACAATCATCCTCTCTTATGTCTTCACTCAGCAGATACTTCTAATGTGGTCCCTCTAGTCTCTGGATCATTCCTATTTGGACTTTGCAGCTCTTCTCCCTTGAACTTGACCCTGGCTATTGTTAACGTTATAGATTAAGTGCACTTGCCTTGTGTGACATGCTTTTAGCCTGTGGTGTTTGTACTCTGCCCTGAGTGAAACCTGGCTGTCGGGGCACACCTGTGGCCATCTGAAACAGCTGCTCGTTTGTCTGTTTTATGTCTCACTTGGAGAGTAGGTAGTGTGTGCCTTCTCCCCTGGGCCAGCCACATGTCCTTGAATTAGCAGACACTAAGAAATTATTACAAATTTGATGGGATGACTTGGTCATGCCATCAACCTAGTTTTAAAATGAAAAATGTTTTATTTAAAGCTAGCACATTGATGTTGTTATTAATATACCAAGTGTAGGTGTGCACTAAAAAACAAATACAAACTTCTGGGCCCGGCTCATTGCTTCCTTGAAGGGGTACCTAGACAAGCTAAATGTTCTGAAAGTGGGTGATAATAATGAATTTAGGGAAGAAAAAAATCCTTAGTTAAAATTTTGTAATCCAAACAAAAGCAAGGATGATGTCTCCAGGTTGAATGTGTTTTACATAAATAGGAAATTAGTCAGCAAACCCTGGGGATGCAAGCTGACTCAACTGCCACTAATAAGCCTGATAATTATATTACAGTTTATAAATTTCTTAGAACACAAACAGATTCGATAATATTATGGACAATCATTTTCTCTTGTTCACCAGGGCTATGTCAGTGACTGAACAGTCCTACAGTGTGGTCATGACTTATTTTGTGACTTATACTATAGACACTTAGCCCCTGTCCATTAGAGATGTGTGCATTTGTGTGGTCTTTTCTCACCCTGGGGTGGGACAGAGAATATATGTAAAGGAAAATTCCCGGATTCCCCGCAGACTCTTTGTAGCAAGCCTTCAATGAGTGCACTTGATGGAAAGAAGGGGAAATTAGATGAACATTTTGTAACTGAACATTTCTGGGATCCAGAGAGAGAGAGAGAGAGAGAGAGAGAGAGAGAGAGAGAGAGAGAGAGAGAGAGAGAGAGAGAGAGAGAGAGAGGAGAGTGAGTGAGTGAGTGTGTTTGCACACACACCCCATGGGTGCTTCTGCATGTGGAACTGGAATTTCCAGGAAGAGGAGGCAGCTAGCTGTCTGTTCTCCCACAGACATCTCCCTGCTGGAGCTGGATGGTGTCAGCACAGAAGCATAGTGTTGGGTTAGAAGTTGCGCTGTCTTGGAGGCTGATCCACTAACATTTCTTGTGTACTTACATTGAAGCTTTTTGTATGTTTTAAATTTAGGAAGCAGCAAATATTCAGACCGAATTGGGACTACTAGCTTTTCACAAAGGAGCTCCAAGAAGGATCAGGGCCCCTCAGAAGCAGAGTTGGAGAGACAGCAAATCCTTCAGGAAATGAGGAAGAGAACATCTCTCCATAATGACAACAGCTGGATCCGACAGCGCAGCGCCAGTGTAAACAAAGAGCCCATCTGCCTGCCTGGGGTCATGAGGAGGTACGAGACAGTTCATGGTCACTTCCTCTTTGCTGGGAGGCACATGTCTCAGTCTAGGCTTTCTTTTTTTTTTTTTTTTTCCTTCAGTGAGCTATCATCATACCTTCTGCGTACTCAGGATTTGATGAGAGGGGGAAGGAGAGAAAGTTACTGAGTGTCAGAGGTCATCAGTTGTGTCTGAATCATCTCATTTAAACTGGGGGACAGTGTTCTGAAGTAGGCTCAGTTACTCTGTTTTTTTATATGATGAAACGAGTTGAGGCAGGGAAGCCAGCTGGACAAGATCACATAAGGAATAGCTTCTAAATCTGGATGTGGACTTCTGAAATGGGATTCAGATAATTAAATATGAATTTCACCCTTTCTTCTGTGTTAAGCTTGAAGAGAAGGAAACCTACTTATGTTCATAATCAGATAAATGGCTAGGTTAGAATCATGATAATTGGGATCACAAAAACTGAAAACCTAAGTTTGCAACTTTTAAGATGGTAAATATGTACGTACAAGTAGCAGTGAGTAGGTGGACATTTTAAGAGACCTATCTTTGCAAATAATAAATACTGCAGCTACTCTGTCAGTGTTCTGACAGATGAACTAGGGAAATTTATTTGTAACATGTTTCAGATAAAGAACTAATTACTTCAATATACAAATAGCTGTTTTAAAACCCAAAAGTAGATCCTAGTAACTTTATCTACATGTGTATTTTTGTCTGTCTGTTTCTGTATCATTTAAACTAGACAAGTGGTGTGAGTAGGTATTTCATAGGAAACAATCAGTAAATATATAAAAATCAATACCACTCCTCAAGGGACAATGATAGATCCTTTGCTTATGACATTTTCACAGCGTTATGAGATTGATTAAACTGGTACTGGCAGTGCATAAGAAAGTAAGAATTATTTTTTTCCAATGGATTCAATAATTTTTTTCACAGTAAATTAAGAAAAGGTGTACATTTCCTTACTCGGGTTCTATCTTCTGGGTATTGTTGAATAAACACACAAAGATAAAGATAAGGATACACAATATTGGATATCTTAAAAAAACAAACCTATCCACTCCCACCAAATTGCTCTTCTTCCTTCCTTCCTTCCTTCCTTCCTTCCTTCCTTCCTTCCTTCCTTCCTTCCTTCCTTCCTTCCTTCCTTCCTCCACCACCATCTGACACAATATTTCTCTCAACAGGGCACCTAGTTAATAATAGTGCTCAAGCAGTAAGAATACTGTACAAGCATTATAAAGTGCTAGACGCACTGTGTACAGTCACCACCTTAGAAGTTAGAGAGTTAAGGGCTCTAGTACTCTTGGGATTTAGGCATGGAGTAAATTTTGTGTGTTCTTTCTTTATTTAAACATACTTTGTTTAAAATAATAATTCTTCCAGGTGTGAGGGTTGCCTGGTTTGTTCTTTGCCTGGCATTGGCTTTGGCACTTGAGCAGCTATAGCTCTGGAGTCGGCAAGATGTTTTTCTTTTAAATGAAGGAGATAGTAGTAACGGTTTGGCAGCCCCCATAGGTCTCTGTCATGTATTCATTTTCTTTAATGACCCTGAGCATGTCAAATGCCCATGAGCTCTGCATGTCTTGGCAATGGATTGCACTTTGCTGAACCTTCTTGAGACCCCTCATGGGGCTCAGTCAGGGGTCTTGTTTTGTAATCTTCTTCCCATGGAGCTGCTGGAGCTGCCTCATGGTATGGTACTCACATTCAGAGGGTCCTTTTTCACAATGACGACAGTTCCTGACATGGAAATGCTTATCACTCCATGTGTATCATATTTGCTGATGTCCCACCCTTGAAAGTGGTCAAATCCAGAGTCGGTGGAAGGGGCTGGATAAGAGAGCAGATACAAAAGGCATGTTTCTCGGGGGACCATTGATGTATAGTCTATCACATGAAGAAGCATTAACATGATTCAAGATCATATATATTAGGTGGCAAACAAGTTATTTTAAACTGTTGTAAAAGAATAAAAACCTTTTGTTCCCATTTGCTGAAGAATGCTATATAGTGAGTGCATCTATATATATGCATGTATTAACTTACATATACAAATTTGTGTGTATGTGTAAATATTTCCTTGTATCTCTGAGAAAAATCTGTAAGAACTCACAAAGGTTGTTACTTTTGGGGATTAGGGAAGGTATAGAAAGTGAGGGAATGAGGAACCCCTTGCTCACCCTCAGAAGCCCCTTTCATATTGCTTGACTTATTCTCTGTATAGTAATATATTGTGATAACATATGATGTTAAGCTAAAAATAGCTGTATTGTTTAAGCTTCTGGTAGGAAGAAAGTTTTAAAAGCACTAACAAAATCACCTAGAATGTTGCTCACAATTCAGAGCTAGCTTTTGTAGAATAGGTAAATCCTGTTTTCAATGTGTCTTCAGTCCAAGGAAAGAGGCTATTGACCGTTTCTAGTCATGTGGACATTGAACAGTTGTTGACACACAGGACTTGGGGTGGTGAGAACGTCTGGGAGGCAGGCTTGGGTTGCAGTAGAGTCAAGGGTGTAGTTAAAGTTTTTTTGTCTGGCCCACAGTCAGGACAAATCTCTCTCACCTGTCAGTCCCACAGCCATCAGACCCAATCAAGTAAACACAGAGACTTATATTGGTTACAAATTGTATGGCCGTGGCAGGCTTTTTGCTAACTGTTCTTACAGCTTAAATTAATCCATTTCTATTAATCTATACCTTGCCACATGGCTTGTGGCTTGGCTGGTCAAACTTGATGTATCTTAATCTGGAACAAATCCATAGCCTCTGGCTTTCTGTGGAAAGAAAAGTAGAGCCTCCTTTCCAAAGCAACATATCCTTACATCCAAATTTTGAAGTCAAGGTACCTTTAAAATATACATTTTGAGCTGGGCGGTGGTGGCGCACGCCTTTAATCCCAGCACTCGGGAGGCAGAGCCAGGCGGATCTCTGTGAGTTCGAGGCCAGCCTGGGCTACCAAGTGAGTTCCAGGAAAGGCACAAAGCTACACAGAGAAACCCTGTCTCGAAAAACCAAAAAAAAAAAAAAAAAATACATTTTGGCATAACTCAACAGCTTTTGCAATCAAATGTTTTTTATCAGTTACGAATATCAAAGAGAACATAATCCAGATTTTGTTTGTGGTAGCCATCTTTACGTGGCTTATTTTTTTATATTAGCTTGAGCCTATTGCTTTAAATTGTAGTATTCCAAGACTGAAACGGCCATGTGGCTGCTGGCTCCGCCCACTTCAGCTTCCCAACATGGCGGTGGTACGTTTTCCGCCAGCTCTGGGAGCCATCAACTCTCAGAAATAGTGGGTCTATGCTTCTATCAAAGCAGCGTGTAGCCCAGAAACCTCTTTTTGTTTTGTACAAGCAAAGGCTAAATCTACCACGCAGCTTAATGTGTCACTTGCAGAGGCCTCATTCCCACCATACTGCAGGTTGAGCGCACATGCCAGGAACCCACCATAGTAGCTCAAACATGCAGGCTGTCGCTAGCTTGAAAGAGACAACTAGGAGCTGTTTTTAGCTCCGTTTTAGAATCTTTTTATTCAGGTTTTAGGTGGAAACTCTTGCCCCATGTTGGGCGCCATTTGTAGCTAAAGTTTTCCTGCCTGGCCCACAGTCAGGACAAATCTCTCTCGCCTGCCAGTCCCACAGCCATCAGACCCAACCAAGTAAACACAGAGACTTATATTGGTTACAAATTGTATGGCCGTGGCAGGCTTCTTGCTAACTATTTTTACAGCTTAAATTAATCCATTTCTATTAATCTATACCTTGCCACATGGCTCGTGGCTTACCAGCATCTTCACATGCTGTTTGTCATCATGGTGACTGGCAGTGTCTCTCTCACCCAGCTTCCTGTTTTCTCAGTTCTCCTCTGTTAGTCCCACCTATACTTCCTGCCTGGCCACTGGCCAATCAGTGATTTATTTATTGACCAATCAGCAACACATTTGACATACAGACCATCCCACAGCACAAGGGGGACTTTGGTTTGAAGTCAGAGCCTTACTCCCACATTCCTGGTTTGGTTAAAGACACTTCTATGAGATTAGAAACAACCTTGTAGAGTACTGTAAAGAGGAAGTTAAATGTGTGGAAATGTCTAGCTTAATGCTATTATGTGCTTAAAATTTATTTTCTGGTTGAATTTGGAAGGACTGAGGTTTGTATGTCTAAACTGTTTAAGATTTAAGGGATGGGTGACTGCCTTTCTAGTATTTGCTTTTATTTAAAAAATAGTTTTCTTCCCACTTTGATTGTTGGTTTTTGGTCTAAGCACCACACTAAAGAAGGTTATTGAAGTATGACATGTCACAATATCTCTGGTGCAGAACAATTTCATTATTAAAAGTAATTGTGTAACTGGATTCAGATTTATTGCAGCCTAGGATATACATAAAATGGGTCTTATATTGACCCCAATGATACATTGCATCCAATGGATGATCTCCAGTTGAGTGGCTCATCCTACTCCTGTGACTTCTTCCTGTGTTTCAGAGGGGAGTCTCTGGACAATCTGGACTCCCAGCGGCCCAGTTCTTGGAGGCAGTCCCCATGGCACAGCCAGCCTGCAGGAGTCTATGCCTCCTCCTCTGTCCAAGACTTCAGTCGCCCGCCTCCACAGCTGTTGTCCACATCAAACCGTGCCTACATGCGGAACCCATCCTCTGCTGTACCGCCTCCAGTGGGCCCAGTGAAGGCTGTCATCCCAGGCCCTGCCCCCCCAGGGTCTCCCACCCCACGCAGCCATTCCCCTTCAATGTCACAGTCAAGCTCTCAGCTCCGTAACAGGTGAGGCCCCTTTTGTCATCCCCTTGTCTTAATTTCAAGCGTGTTTCTTCATTAAAACGATGCCCAAATTATCCAGTAAAGAAGAAAAACAAGTCTTTTGAGTGCATGAAATTTGGTGTTCTTGTATCAGAGCAATTGAGAAGGCTTTCTTCTGCCTCTGTCTGTTGCCTGCCTAGTGTCTACAGATGTCTGGGAAAGGCACTCAAGACTCAACATGTCTGCATGTTGCCAGGCTCTCTGTTGCCTGTGCTTTTGGTCAGTGTCTCAGCTGGAAGTTTTCTCTGAGTAGATCACCATGTGGCATCAACCAAGGATAGAGTGGCTCACAAATGCATTCATATTGATAAATAAGAGCAGTGTTACAAGTGTCTGACTTTTAATGGCACTCTACTAGAAACTCATTGGAATGGAGTGTGGAGAAAAGCATGATAAATATGCTTCGTAGCCTGGGCAGTTTTAACAAGCTGGATTAAAAAAGAAAATCATCCTGTCGGTTTGATCTTGCTTTCAGAGTCTTGGGTTGTTTCATCTGTTACCCAGTCTGCCACCAGTTTGCTCAGTCTTCATCACTTGACTTCTGCAGTCCATATGTTCCGGGGAGGGTGTAAAAATTAGGTAGAGTCAGCCAGGCAGTGGTGGCGCACACCTTCAATCTCAGCACTGGAGAGGCAGAACCAGGCAGATCTCTGTGAGTTCGAGGCCAACCTGGTCTACAGAGCGCAATCCAGGACAGGCACCAAAGCTACATAGAAAAGGTTTTTGAGAAACCCTGTCTCAAAAATCCAAAAAAAAAAAAAAAAAAAAAAAAAAAAAGGTAGAGTCTGGAATGGCTCCTTGCCCTGGCCCGTGGGGTGATGCCCTGATGTCAATGTGGGCTGTATTTTCAGGTCTTCACAGCTTCTCCAGGAGTCAGCCCTTTGTTTTCACCCCAAAGGAATTCTAGTTTCCATCACAAATGTGATTATTAAAGGTAGAAATCCATTGATATTTGGATATTTTAAGCTATTAATTAATAGACGTAGATAAGAATATATATATGTATATGAAGATATATTCAAAATAATGTTACAATTAGCAAGATCTACAAAATATGTTAGAGAGTTGAATTAAAGGAAAAGGGGTCAGGAGGCCTTATGGGCAGTTTTTGGGGTAGATGGAATTTGCAGAGGAGAGGAACCACCATTCACTTATTCTCCCACTGTGGCCCCATATGTGAGAGCAGGGCAGTGTGAGAGCCCAGGGAAGGTCTTTGTCTGGCAGACTGCTTTCTTCACACCTGACTCTCAATAGCCATGCACTCCCTGTACTCCAGGTGGTGCTGTGGTGGTGTGCTCCTCTTGCAGGGGTGAGAAAGTAATGAGGTAGCTGCTGTCTCTTTAGCACTAGGAGAGACCAGCCCAAGATCGGAAAATAAAGTGGGAATCCCCATCCTTGATTCATTGGCAGCTCTTGGGGTATGATGACATCATTCTCAACAGAAGTGCAGTAAGAAAGCATTCCTATTTCTAACCAGAAAATTGAAAAAGAAGGGGTAACAAGTAAAGGTGAGAAAGCAAATCACAGAGAATCCGGTGGACCCGAGAATGGGATGCTGTGAGTGGAATTTTGTAGATAAGTCAATTGAATTAGCAAGAAGATGTAACAGATCAGGGATACTGATTAGTCCATATGTGATCCCAGGGGAATGGAATCAAAGTCCCAAATGGACCAATCACATTGAAATCGTTCCTTTAGGTGAATAGTCATCAAGGTTCCCTAGAGCCTCCGTCGAGACAGTTCAAGGTATAATGATCTTATTTAGTTGGCTGCTGAGAGTTTTTCTCCCACAGATATAAAGAGCCTTTCTTCAGTTATGATCATTTCTGCCAATGACAGTGTGACTTTGAATGCCAACCTTGCACAGCATAGGTGAAAGCCTCCATTCCATTCTTGTTCCACATCTAGGTCAGTGAGTGGGAAGCGTGTGTGCTCCTACTGTAATAACATTCTGGGCAAAGGAGCTGCTATGATCATCGAGACCCTGGGTCTTTGTTATCATTTACATTGTTTTAAGGTGAGCCTGAGACAAAGAGCTTGCCAGCCGCTATGCTTTGCTTGGAGTGCGCATGGCTTCTGTGAGCCGCTGGGTTGTGGATGTGCCACTAACAAGCTTGGCGCTGTTATTTGTCAGTCTGTGCTGTGCTGGAGTCACAAATTGCTTGCTGCTACTTGGTTCTCAAATCTGGAGTCTTCTTATGAAAGTCAGTCTGGAAGCCCTATGCTTTTTGTCGCTCTAATCTGCTAGGATCCTATAAATAAAATTTATGGTGCATAGTGTGTTCTCTAGCATGCTGCCACGAGTAGACTTAAAATTTAATTCACCAGCGTTATTAGCAGCACAGAGACATGCAGTTATCAGTGTCTAATGGATAGTTTTTAATAGTGTCTGGAAGGAAAACCACTGTAAATATTTTTACAGTTGCACAGCCTGCTTATCCCTGATAGTGTTTTTGTATACAGCGAAGGGTCCAGGCTGTAACTCTTTGCTTTCCAGTATCTGTCTATGAACACATCAGTTTAATTCTTGAAATTTCACTGGGCCAGTAGAAAGTCTCCCCATTTTTGATTCCAGAGTCCCAAAGTTAGCAGCTTGCTAATCATATAATCATGTAAATTTGTATGTATAAATCCATGTAGAGCAGAATGAGTCAAAATAGTGTTTGAACACACACACACACACACACACACACACACACACACACACACACACACACACACACACACACACATATACCACACAGGAAAAAGACACAGAGACAGAGAAAGAGAGAATGCCAAAGTCCCTAGCCTTGACATAAGGCACCCCATGAATGCTTGCTCATCTAGTTCTCTGGGGACAGTGGGAGAGGCCTACTCTAGACTAATGCCAGAAATCCAAATTCTATTTTCCTCCTGTTCTTACATGTGATGTTAGCCTTTATTTCCTTGGAGCAATGAAGACTACATTTCTTTCAGCAAATTAGCAAATTGTTTTTGTATTTCTCCAGCCCCAGTATATTTAGAATGGTCATCTTGGTTTTTAAATTTTGCTTTATGAATTCTTAGTGTCTAATCTGGAAGGCTTGGTTTCAATCCACTAATTGTCTTTTGGTCTTCTCTACCCTTTGCTCTGCTGTAATATACCCAAGAGTTTAGGAGCTGCACTCTATAATCCTTCCAGCCCACTCCTGCTTATCCATTCACCCCCTGCATCTGCCTCCTGAGAGTGCTCTGGGCTTTCTGGAATCACCTAACTGTATACTTTCTTTTGTCTGTCAGTGCGTCTCCTGTGAACGTGACCTCGGAGGCTCCTCCTCCTCCTCAGGAGCCGAAGTCAGAATCCGAAACCACCAACTGTACTGCAATGACTGCTATCTCCGATTCAAATGTAAGAGAGCAAATCAGAGAGAAAATTTCTTGTCTTTTGAGGAGACCGCGGGTTCCTATGCCTTTCCCTGAGCCTGTAGCCACCTCCTCCTCAGGTTCACTACCATAGGATCCTGGGTTTTGGGGGTCATAGTCTGTCTCCTTCAAAGAGGCTGTCTACCGCATCCTAGCCATCTAGAGGAGGTTATGGGGTGGAGGAAACTTCTAATGACTCCTGGGCACAGAATAGAGGTTAAGACAAGTCTGCTTTCTGATTAAGGTTCCATCTCTCATCAGCTCATTTCTATTATCTAATGATGAGTTCTTATTATGTGACTTAGAATGTAATCAACTCTGCAAATGACTGAACCTGAGAGTGTCACTTTCTGCTTTATGTTAATACGTAGCCATGTGTCCACACATGTATTTTTGAAAAAGAGAGCCTTGATTTTGTTTATATGGTGTTTCAGTGTCATTGAATTAAAAAAAACTTAAATGCTACTTCTTACTAAGCATGTGTTTGAGTGTTGTGAAGGATAGGGTAGCGTTACTCCGTTGTGTATTGTTCATAGCCTCAGCAAGACAACAGTTATTGCTGTATATCATTTTGAACCTTGACGCTGGTAACATGTTTCTTCCTTGTTGTGAAAGGGTGTTACAAGTGGTATCTACAAACCTATTGCTTTTGAACTCAGAGGTATTTATATGGCCCCTTATATGAAGCGTGTTTGGAAATGATTTGAACTGGTCAACTCTCTTTTATCTGTCAATGGCTTCTGAGCCTTCTCTCCGGGCTGTCCAGGCCTCCCTTGGATATTGACCCTGAAGTTGGGAGAATGTCAAGGCTGGGCACGGGGTCCGGTTGGGGGGAGTGTGTATGTGTGTGTACTTTTCTCTTTTAAATCCAAAGCCAAATATAACTGATTTTTGGAATCATTGCCCATGCCTTTTCTCTCCTTCAGTACAAATAATAGAGAGTTGAAAGTATTTTTTTTTTGATTCAGCAGTTAATTTTTACTCTGTTTTACAAATAAAGAATTCTAGGCCCCAGAGGCTTCAATTTGCCTGCCTTTATCCTAAGACTGTGTGACAGGCAACTCTTTCTACCTCACTGGGCCACTCTGAGTGATGACTGCTCTATATCTCCACGTGCTGATGTCCACATGCTTTTGAATCTGAGCACTTTTCTCTCTTCTCTCCTTGCCTGATCAGCTGGACGGCCAACCGCCATGTGACGTAAGCCTCCATTCGAAAGTGCTGTTGCAGATAGAAGAGGAGGAGGCGGTGGCTGCTGATGCAGAACTATAAATATGTCTTGTATGTCCCCCCCTTTTTTAAAAAAGAGAATAACCTTTGCCTCATTAGATGACATAGGAACACTGTAGTGTTGGTAGGACCTGTATTTTTGTTGTTTATTTATAAGGTAATTATGTGTGTGGGGAAGTGCAGTACTTGCCTTTTGAATTCGGCATCCTAAAAGCACAAGCAGAAACACCCCAAGAACTTAAAAAAAATACTTTGGAGACTGATGATGATCTAGTTTGACCCTTTAGTGGTGTTTTGAAGAGGGTATTTTATTTTATTTTTTTTTAAGTTCTTAAACATTATTTGAAATAGTTAATATAAATATGTAATTGTGTTTACTGTTTACTGTAATGTATTCTAAGTTAATGTGGAACCATATGAAAAATTTCATTTAAATCCACCCATAAATTTGCTTTTTTGTGGTTTTCTTTACACAGAAATAATCCAATTGAAAAATAATTTTGCTTATGTAATATTTTATTTGCTTGAGGAGGGCATTCTATTTTCTTTACAAGGACTGTCGTTGCTAAGCAAATATCAGTAGAAAGCTGCTTATTTTCAATAATAAAAAATAACCATGGTTTGTACACCAGGAATTTTCTCCAGAAACTAGTGAGATTTTCTGTTCAGTTGCCTTTGTAAATAAAATTGGTGATGCATTTAAGGAGTGGTTCTTTTTTTAAAAAATTATTTGTTGAGTTATTAATTTACTTATTTAATGAGTTTGTGTCTCTTGCAGTCCTTTTTTTAAAAGTAAAAAATGTGTGTGTGTTTGTGTGTGTGTGTGTGTTAGTGTGTTTATCACAGGCATGTGGGTGTCTGTGGAGGCCAGAGGAGGGTGTGAGATATCTAACATGGATCCTGGGGCCTGAATTCAGGTCCCAAAAGAGAAACAAGTGCTCTTATCTCCTGTACTGACTCTCTAGTTCCCCTTTCAAGCCTTTTAATTGTATTTTATATGTGTGCCTTCTTGAGACTATATTTTATGTGTCTTTACTAAGGTACAGTAGACATATTGTAAACTGCAGTATTTATATTTAGTATGTATAGCTTGACAAATTTTGGTATGTGAATTTCTGTTCAACTACTGCCACAACCACAATGGTTCTGCAGAAAAAACTTAATTTTAATCATAAATTTTAATTCAGATAATGTTATGATTTTGAATACTTTTTATGATGTATGTTGTCAACTGTTGGATTAGTTTTTAAAATCTGTTATTTTGTCCTCTAGGGAGTCTGGAAAATATCTAGAGCAAAAGTAGTAGTTTTTAAAAGAAATCTGGATCAAAAATAAGTGATGTAAAACTTTAGTGTGCTTTGAATAAAAATATAAGGACACTTGAATTCTTTATAAAAAGTGTAAATAGAGTGAGTGAGAGGCTTAAAATATGTAGTTAAGTGTTAATGTGGGAGAAAAATAAAAATTAGTTCCAGAGTTTTTGTTGCTGAGCAACTATTTTTATTTCCAGTTATTAAAGTAATATGTACTTATTCAGGAAAATTTGTCAAATGCCCCAGACCATTTAGAATGTAGCTTGCGGGCCCTAACCCCAATGAAAAGCAGCAGTCTTTGAACTCATTCTGCAAGCAGACGTTCATCCTGCATTCTTAGCTAATAGTGCATGTTTCCCATGTTCTTAAAGTCATTTCTTCTCTCCTCTCCTTTTCTTCATACCATAAACCACACCCCCTAGGGCGCTCTGTTTCTTTTTCTTTTCTTTTTTATTGGTGTTTATATGGTGTTTGAAACCCATATAGCCATGAAACCCATGGTTTCATGACGATATTTTTATCTGGGTGCATCCCATACTTTGATTGTGTTCACCCTCCAATATCTCCTCCTTTCCCCAGACAGGAGAGCCTCTACTTTCATGTCATATGTAAAAATGATTTTGTTTGTATATAAAATGTAGTGTCTACAAATGAGAGAAAACGGGGTGTTTGTCTTGAGTTATTTTACTTTGGTTTCCATTTATAGCTTTTTTTTTTTTTTTTACAGTGTGTGTGTGTGTGTGTGTGTGTGTGTGTGTGTGTGTGTGTGAGAGAGAGAGAGAGAGAGAGAGAGCACGAGCGAGCGCCAGCCAGCCAGCCGCAGTGTGTGAGGTCAGAGGACAGCTTGCAGGAGCTGGTGCTCCCCTTCCACCACGGAGGCTCTCAGAATCAAACTCAGGTCATCAGGTTTGGCAGCAAGCGTGTTTGCTATTTAAGTTTTCATTTTCTTAGAATGATGTTAGTTTATTTTTCTTTATAGCCAAATAAAACCGCATTGTGTATGTTTGCCACATTTTCTTTGTGCATTCATTGGTTGGTGGACACTGATTCTGTAACTTGGCCGTTTGAACACAGTTACAATAAGAACTGAAGTGCAAGTATCTTCTTAGAGTGTCTTTTGGGTGTAAACTCAAGAGTGGTGTAGTTGAGTCCTATGGTAGTTCAATTTTCAGTTTTCTGAGGAACCTCTATACTGATTGCCATAGTGGCTGACTAATTTACATTCCTACTGACAGTACAGAAGTGCATGATGATTCCCTTTCACCCACATTCTCAATAACATCTTCCTCCCTCCCTCCCTCCCTCCCTCCCTCCCTCCCTCCCATGTTTGGACAATTTCTGAGCTACTTGACTGACTTGCAGAGGTAGGATTTCTTTATCCTCTGTGGGCTAAGCTGAGAAGACTGCATGTAGACTGTGGACAAGAGACTCCCAAAGATTAGGTTGCAGAATTGTCAAGAATCATGCAGAGCATGTGTGAGTGGCATTTCCTAACATCCAGTCTGTCCTAAAGAAACTAGCACTTTCTATGCCTCCCTCTAAGAGCAGAAGTGGGCAAGAATAGTTGATTTCTTGGTCCCACATTACTAAGAAGGTGTTTTGTTTTCATTTGGGAGTCTGCATGAACATAGTGAGTTGTAAAAGAAGCTTTTACTTCATACATATGTTAAAGCATGAGCCTTCTTTGGTACTAAATTAAGGAAGGAAAGTAGCATGAAAACTAGTTTCTTTTTTCTGTTTAAGAATTTAATCTTGGTATTTTCCTTGAAATATGCCTAAATATCAGAGTGAAGTCCAATTCCCAACACCAAAGGTGAAACTGTCTGAATTTCAGTGGGTGACAGCGTAATAACTACCTCTTGATGGTTACAGTTGAGAGACATGTCTAATAGGGTGTATTATTGTTCGGACTTTATTTTACTTTTTTAATAGCACTTTTACATCCTTCCTTGCAATCTGGAAGAGGGATTAAAAGACATGCCCACACAAGCCCAAGTTTCTGCCAGTGAGTACAACATTAAAAACTAATTTGTGCACAAATGTATACGTGGAGACAAGAAAGCAACTTTCAGATTATTATTCTTTTTTTAAAAAGCTGAGTTCTGAAGTGCATATCTACACATTTCAGTCCATGGTAAAGGAGACCTGGGCTGCAAGAGGAGTATAATGTGTGAGATGTTGAGAGCTGTGGTCACTAAAGGAGTAGAGATGTCCCTGTGTTATTTGACATTGTTCAGAGCACATATGATTTTAATAGATCAAATGTTTGAAAAACAATGAATGCATTTCTGAGTTGAGTCCACCTCCCATGGATTTCTCTCTTTTGTATCTTCACCGAAAACTTACATATATAGTTTGGCCTGTGCTGCAGAGGGATGGACAGCTCAGTAGCTCTGCTCTGTGTGATAATTTATCAGGAAGTGTTGACTATTTGACATGGTGCCAAAAGAGAGAGAAGGAGCAATTTCCAGTATTCTCCAGGACAGTAGGATACTGTAGTATAAAACAATTTTAGTCCATCTTTCATAGAGAACAAAAAAAGAGGAGTCTGAAGAGTCCTACCACAAAGAAGTGATGTTTCAAGGAGATAAAAATTATCAGTGACTTGTTCACTATGATATTGTGTGTGTGTGTGTTTAGTTATAACTGTATCCAATAAATCTGTATAATTACCATATGTTCCCTAAAAATACTTTGAGAAATATTGTCTTATGGTTCTACAGATTAAAAATGTCATGGGACAGCATGATTTCCAGAAGCACTTTCCAGGGAGGGGAACAACTCAACTGTCTTATCTTCATTTTAGGTTTTTTTTTTTTTTGGTCAAATGGCATCTCAGAGGATTTTTGGTGACCAGCAGTGGTCATTCTCTGAGGCAGCTTTAAGACTTTAGGGTACTTTTCAGCCTGTAATTACTCTGTATTTTTGGTCTCATTTACTAATTCTTTTTGGACTTTAGAACAATACAAGTTTTATGGGGGCATGGGATTGTCTGGTTTTGATTGTATCACTAGTGTTTAGAATAATGGTACAGGTGACAGGGTGGTGTATACCTTTAATTCTAACACTTGAGAGGCAGAGGCAGGTGGATCTGTGAGTTCAAGACTAGCCTGGTCTACAGAGTGGATAGCCAGAGCTACAAAGAGAAATCCTGTGTCAAAAAACAAAACACAAAATGAAAGAAAGAATACTACCATAGTCGTTAGACAATAAACAAGGAATACAAGAAAAACGGTAGTAGGACAGGTAGGGAGATAACTGAGAGGACACAGCCCACCTGGGACCCACAGACCAAGAGATAAGGTAGTTTAGAGAGTAGTTCTTATCGAGAGAGGAGACGAGTTCTGTTTGGGACAGAATGTACTATAGCAAGACAAACATGTAGACGTAGTTACAGTTAGCTGGAAATAAATGATTGGGCTTAAGCAATAGGAGGAAGTGATATTCATTATGTGTGTTATATTTATACTTTCAAGTCTACATGAATATAAAGAAATTAATTTCCTGACCCAACAGGTAATCAAGAAGTTTGATTTATCTAACAGTTCAATAATGTTAGGAGAACTTCTCATTCATTTCAGGCTCTTTGGCTATCCACAATGTTGGCTGATCCTGACTAATTAGTACTATGGATGCTGATAAGCTTTGGACTGCCTTGCCTATTGAAAAAGAGACTGATTTTTTAAAAATTCTCTCCATTGTGTAGGAGGACTTCCCAGAAGTCTTCATCAAAATACCCTAGTTATGGTTAGAGCTTGAGTCATTGGCTTATTTTGAGCCAAGCATGATCTTATATTCATGTCCATCAGGATGCCTTCCCTCGCAGCCTGTCAGAACAGTCTGCAACCATGCTATTAATCCAGGAGGTTTTGACGGAATGAATGTTGGGGAGTCAAACGCACTGGTTATTATAGTTAGCATTCATAAATTCTCAAGATACCTTATCTAGATTTCAGGGGCCTTCTTAAGAACCAATCTGTAGAGAAAAGGAGACCAGACAAAGATCATGTGTGGAGGTGCTGTTAGTCAAAAAAGATGTGTTCTAGCAATTAGAAAGGCTGGCTCATGGTGATGGTGAGATGAAAACTGGGATGCTGGGTACTTTGCAAATACTTGGTCTAAAACACGTGAAAGACTGTTTCCTCTTCAGGTTTTTTTTATACAGACTTCAGGACATCAGAATATGGATTGAACACTCATCTTTTAAAATTAAATTCTAAACTCATAAGGCTTGGTGATCTGGTAAGTCTTATTCTGCTCTGCAACTTGATGGAGTTCTGCGATACTTACATTAAGAAGATCCTTAGAGTACTTTGTGGATAGTTGCTTATTTCTCACAATTTACTTCTCCAGAGGATTATCTCAACTTCTTTCTATTGCAAGTAGATTA